AATGAGATTTAAAAGCTTGACAAAGTGTTTCTATTGTAATTCTAGAAATCAGTTATGTACAGATTTACATAGGTCTTTCTAATGTAAGGAGAAAAAAAAAGAAATAATAAAACTCACTTCAAGTCTAAGGGACATCGGTTACCAGATACTTTGTACTACTCTTCAGTTTTGGTTCTCTGTCCAAAATCAGTTTCACTGTCCCTTCTGAGACAGGAACGTAACTTTACCAGGACTACCCAGCTGTTCATGAGTAGTTGCTGTGGAAATTAATTTTATCTAATGTCCTCCTGTCTCCAAGAATGATAATGTAAGAGCATAGAGGCTTTTAAGCCAATGATTTCCCTAGCCAATCATCAACCAGCAGTGCAAGTTCTGGATGAGTACAAAACTAACCATCATAGCAAAACCAGGCAATAAAGAGAAGGACTATAAAATTCTTATAGAAAATGTTACTTTAATATTTTCTACTGCTTTTACATTCAGGCTTGCATGAGACCCTTCAAACGATGACAAAGTCTTAAAAAGTTAGCTTACCTTCTTAAATGAAGTGAGAAGTTTAACACTGACATAGCCCATCTTATTTCTTCTCACATGCTTCAGAAGGAAGGCATCTTTCTCAAGGTTCTCATCTGAGAAGTAATATTCAATCTGTGCTATTAACTTCTGGATCAGGTCATTTTCTGGTGGTTTCCAGTTCTGGTCAGAGTCATCATCATTTTCCCCACCACTGGAAAACAAATCATTTTATCAACAGATCTTCATCTTCTATTAGTGGATTCAAAGAGCCTTTCAAAATGAAAGGGCATAACCATAATGCTGGTTCCAATTGACTTTAGATGTGAGCACTGAACAGGTATCACCCATCCAGCTGAGCCAGCAGGCTAACTCAGAGGATGAAGCTTTCCAGTTGGGAAAGGAGTCAAGCTCCTGAGCTCATTCCAGAAGCTGATCTCAGTGCAGAACAATGAAACATCTACACTAATGGCTTAAAAGCACTGACATCTCAAATCCTCCACCAAAACATGAAACGAAGGTGCCCTGGCACTGGGTACTATACAAATTTCCTCCAGTTACAGGGTTATATTTTTCATTATGAAGCTGTTAAACATAGGCCTGATCTTTATGTGCTTCATGAGTAGTGTCACATCCCAGAGAATGACTGTTCCAGCTTGATGCAGTCATAATTTCTTGAGCCTCTTCACTGCATGGATGCAGGAGCTGATATCCAGGGAGTAGGAAGGACTGACAGGACTGTTGGACGTTTTATAGGTCGCTTCCACAGTGGCAGAATAACATAACCAGCAGTTTAGCACAGGGGCTAAACCTGCCAGCTCATGTAACTCGGGAACAGGTTTATATGCACATATGCAGGTTCCTCATGTGGAATAACCTCATGAGGTCATTCTCATTTCTTCTCTTTACCTCCCATCATATTGTTTGGATACCTGGGCAAAATGGAGCACTGTTGAGCATTCTATTCCTCAAAAAATACTGCAGCCATAGATTCAAGATAAACATCTTGCCATGTGCAGTTACAGCAACATGTTTGTTGCTGAAATAGAAATTTCCATTTACAGGTGACTATAATGGAGAAGTCTATCTTAAGTCAGAGACATTTTTTCAAGCTGTTAGTGGTCTAGTTTTGTTGTGGGATCATCATGAGAGTTTCTGTTAAAAAAATAAAATCATTCACTAAGTACCCAATAAATAATGTATTAGTTTGGTCTCCCAGGTACATTAGTAATGAAAAGAAGCCATACATTTCCCCAAAATTGTCTTAAGTAGCTTTTGCAGGCTTTGAAAGCCTTAGGAAAATGAGCAGGCATCACACTGGAGTGCTGTGAGGCCGATCTGTCAGGGAGGATGCAGCCTGCTGGATCCCCTGCCCTGGACAGTTCTGTCCAGGGTGACAGAGGCAGTGGCCACAGTGCTGCTGAATGGAGAACATGGGTAGCTCAGTGGAACTCTGGCCTGCTGCTGGGACAAGGTACAGCAGTTCTCTGGCACCTGGCTTTTTGAAGCTTACAGTACATATAGTTGTTATGGTTCTTCTGATGATAGGGCAACACATCAGATATATGTGGATACTCACTTGAACAATCCTAGAAGTCTCCCTGTTAAAAATCTCCCTAGCCTTTAATAGGGTACAGTTCAAAGGAATGACAAGAATGAGAGACCAAGAAAAAGAATTTATGTTAATTGGCAAAGCCAGAAGTAGAGGATAATAGATGAAGTTACAATTAGGATGGTAAAAAAATATCTAAGGCCCAGCTGTAGGTGCTGGTTTCAGAAGGAAGAAAAAAACAGTGGTGTTTATTTTTCATTCATGATGATCCCTTCTCACTGCTTCATTTACTACTGATTCAGAATTAGTCTGGGTACAAGAAGCTTGGAACATTTCAGTCTTTTTACAAATCCACACTCTTCCAGGAAAAGCTTGCCTTTAGTTCTGGATCAGGCTTACCTTTATTTTAAGGATTTATTAGCATAGATATTTGCAGGTGTTTGTTTAGAGACAAAAAGGGGTATTGTGCTTTGGAAAACAACAAAAATGAATTGCATGTTTGCAGAGACCTACAGCGCTGACACACTGAATCAGGGTGAAACATTTCACCTCACAAATATTGGTCACAGTTTGACCTATACACTATTTCTATGTTTGGCAGACATGTCAGTTTTTACAAAATCTTCTGGGGTCTTACAATAGCCCTCACTAAATGTATGGAAATTGCACCTACAATCAGTACAGAAATTTGTAACTAGCTCCATGTTAAATTGTGATAATGATCAACTGGTAGCACCTCTAGGGTATCAACTGTATTACAAAAGTAGTTGATAAATAATTTCAGTCAACATTGACAAAGAACCAAACCCTAGTAGTTATTCACAACCTTATTTCTTTATTCAGAGCTTTGTGATTATATGCTTGTAAAACAGAATGAAAAACACTCTTTTAACATGGTGACTCATCTGGTCATTAGTCACACAAAGAAACAAAACATATCTACAGAGAGAGCAGATTCGGAATTTTAAATAGCTCACAAATAATATAATAAATTGTTTGGATAACATCTAACCTTCTGAAAATTTTTAGCTGAGTCTCCAAATGAATGAAGTATTGTATTAATAAGCACTATGTGGCAATCTAATTTATAAGTTCCAAGAGTACAGTCACTCAAGGGCAGTCCATGTTTGTGAACAAAAACACGAATACAGTACCGGGTGCCTACTGATGGCAAGCTGTTTGCAAGCTTCAGCTGGAGAGTGAGATGGCTCATTCCCAGCAGTTTCAGATCATCCTTAATAATTTTCCAAATGTTTGTAAATAATTTCCTATCAGATGCTGCATTCCCAAAAAAGAAGTCCTTAGGTAAGGTTATATGTAAATGGCAGAAGCACGTGTAAACTCCAGTCACCTACTTTTGATGCAGAGTCTTTAAAGTTCTCTCCATAGCAATACCTCTGGCCTTTCCTGGATCAAGAAGAGCCCATTCACAAAAAGGCAACCTCCACAAGAACTGAATATACATCAACACTGTCAGCAAACATTTCTGAAGACAACAGCTACTGCAGAGGATTAAATAAATGACATTTAAGAGTATTTAAGAGCTATTGTCTTTCAGCGTTTGAAAAAATATTTTTTTTTCTAGTCTAGTCCAGGGCTAGAAACTCTTCACAAGTAATACTATCATAGATAACAAACGTAAATAATGTCCTGATTTCAATAAATCAGTACATGGAATGCAATACTGTAGGCTGCTGTACATATTTATAAAAATACAACAGTCACATATGATTGTGGAATAACTAAGCTGACTCAGTTTAAAAACCTTAACTGCACTGTGCCTAGCTCTGTTCAACTTGTTTCTGTAGTCCATAGTTGACAATTTTGACAGCTACAGAAAATTTCTCACTACCGTACAACCCCTCTGTAATTTAAAATAATACATTGCAGTTCACTCTGAGTCAATGCTAGGTATGAAGTTAGACAATCAATTAGAAACAATAAATGTTCAAACAGAATACTGGATTTGTTGCTACTCTACCTAAATCCTTATCTGACAATTTATTACTCCATCTGCAGCTCTAGTACCGACCACAGGATGAGCTACAACTAGTAAAGCTTTGTCTCTCTGCAGTTTGCTGGCACATAAATCCTGGATGTTCGTTTTACAAGCAAGAGATTTTAGTAAGCATCAAAACTATTTCAGGCCACCAGGCCAAAACGGGCAAAAAGAGAAAAAAAACCCCAAAACATCAAACCCCAAAACAAAACTCCAAAACGCAGCTACAACTAACCCCCAAAATCTTTCTGTAAAACGCAGTGAATTGAAAATGTCGCGGGCATCACAGCCCGGCGCTTCTCGCTGTGGGGGAGCCCCGGGCCCGGCAGTCCCGTCGGGGGCGGGTGGGACGCAGCCCGGGCGGAGCCATCGGTGCGGCGGGCAGCTCCTGCGGCCTCCGGGTGTCCGTGCTGGAGGCTTTCCAGCGTCTCCCACCCGCCCCTCGGCGTTGCATCAGCCGGGCCCGCTCCGTTCCGGGGGTGTCCGCGGCAGCCCCGCGGCGCGCCCCGCACAGCCCCGCCCGCGCCGCGTCCCCGCCGCCGGAGCCCCTGCCCGGGGGCTCACCTGGAACGCCCGCACCGCCCCGAGTCCTCCTCGCTGCAGCTGGGGCACTGCGCTCCGCCGCCCCCCTCCTCCTCCTCGTCCTCCTCGTCCTCCTCGGCGGCCGCCTGGACGGCCACTCGGATCTGCACGGGGCCGCTCCCCGCCGGCAGCTCCGGCCCGGCGGGCGCGGCCCCGGGCTCGGCCGGCGGCGGCTGAGCCATGGAGCTCCTCGGCCGGGCTCAGCCCGCCGCGACACCCGCGATGCCCCGGGTTGCGACAGCCGCCCGGCCGCCTCCCCTCCGGTCCCCCCAGTCCCCTCCCGCTGGGGCGGCGCTCCCAGCTCCACTCCCCCGGCCCGCCCGCACGGCAGCGGGAGGCTCCGACCCTCCTCCAGCCATGCCGCCCCCGGGCCCGCCGGGCAGCTGAGGAGCCCTTCTCCTTGACGGCTGAACAGGGACTGCTTTTGTTCCATCAGAAAACAGCGGGCTCCTCAGCGGAAAGCAGCGCCTGCTTCTCTTCTCCTGGTGCAGCCCTGGCGCTGCGCCGCCGCTCCCTGACCAGAGCGTTGCGTTTTGCGAAAGTCAGAAAGGTTTCGCCGGGGTAAGTGTGGTTTAAATGCCGAGGTTGAGATTTGGAAATAAGATACACAGTGAACATGACTGTATACGTGTTGGTTTTGCAGAGGAGTCTCCTCTATCGTTCTGCATGGCACTTACACAGAATAAAAGCATCCCCCCTTAAGAACTAATTAAAATACAGCCCCTTTTTCTGAAATATTTAGGCAGTAATTATTTTGTAGTTAAGACTACTGCCCTATAATTCAGACTATTGCACTGTGTTTCAGCTACTAAAATGACATTAACATTCATGTGCTAAATATTAGAATCAAAAGCTTTTCAATATACCATGTAAATACTTATTCTTCACTCAAGGAAGATTTTTTTTTTTTTTTTTCAGTATTGTCTGTACCCAAACTGCTAAATGATCTTTAAGTCACGGCTTCATTTTTGGCATCCTTGTTTATATCTGCATTGCTTCAATATTTTCTTCTTAGAAATGTGGATGGACAAAGAGTGAGACTGCACTCAGGGCCAGTTCTTCTCATTACTGTGGCAAACAGTCCTCATGAGTCAGGTTTGCTGGCATGGACACATTCTGAGACTGCCCTGCCTCAGGCTTTGGCTGATTTTTAAATGTGCCTTAAGCAATAAAGTATTTTGTTTATGAAATGTGCTTACAAGCATCACTAACCAAATCTCTAGTTCTCTGCTGATGGAACATTCTGTATTATCATCGCTGCTATTTTTTTCAGTGGATGCAGAAATACAAACATGAATTACACATTCTAGGCAAGAATATGGACAGGGGCTGTGGGTCAGATTTTGTATGAGTTCATGGAAGTTATTTGTCTCCCTGAGCACAAACAAGGTCAGGAGTATGAACAAAGAACTATTTTGTGCTACCCAAATAGCTAACCCAAATGATGTTTGAGAGTGACCTTTCAGTTTATCTGATATATCTTTCTGTCAAGGTTAAGGGAATTTGATTTTATGGCAGAGGACACTAGATGTGTTTATTTGTTCTACCAGTGGCTACAGCACAGAACTGGCTTTTGGCCAGATGAAGACTGATGTAATTTCAAACACTGTTTTGATTAGATTTCCATTGAAATCACCAGACTGGTGTTTTTGGGGTTTGTTTTGTTTTATTTTCCTTTTAATATAACAGTACTTTATAGTGCTTAACTTCCAGTAGAGATAAAGCAGTATTTGTAAATATAGCAGAACTTAAAATGAAATGTATTAATGTAGAGAAGTCCCTTAGAAGGAAACCCATGGCTCACTGCTATCCAGTAAACATCATAAACCCGTGAACCTCAACTGCACATCCAAAATTTGCACAGATTTCTTATGGTGCATTTTCCAGCAGATGGAACTAAAATTACAATACAAGAAGCTAAACCTGGAATATTTGTTTGTGTGCCCAGGCCTTGGAATAAGTCACCCAGGGAGGTGTTTTAAGTGTCTGGATCTACACTGGATCATGTGGTTTGTGGTTTAGGGGGTTACAGCTGCATTGCTGAGCTGACATTTGGATTTGATCTTAAAGGTCTCTTCCAACCTTGATGATTCCATGATTCTGATTGGGAAAGACACCATGAGGCAATTCACAGCCCTTCCACACACTGGCAGCCACACCGTTACTCCTACCACTAATTTCTCGATGAGTGTATTTAAAAGCATCCACTACACATCAGTGGAGCACCGGGCTCCAGGAGCTGCTGCGGGATCAGCACCTAGAGCTCGCACAGGCTGAGTGTCGCATTTTGTGATTGTCACATTTTGTGACCAGTCTGTGCCCACAGAAGACAACTTTCTGAGGCACGGCAGGAACCATCCAGCTTCTCGCCCTGTCACGGGCTTTCACACACAGCCACTTGCTTGTAGAATTCAGAAAAAACACAATCATAATAGCGGCTTTTTATTATGGGGAGCGGTGTGAGGGTGACGCCGGGCACAGCAGGAGGACCGCAGAGCGCCACATCCATCCATCCATCGGTCGGTTCGTCCGTCCGTCCCTAACCCCTCACAGTTTCCCTCCCCTCACGGTTTATCCTCCCCTCACGGTTTATCCACCCCTCACGGTTCCCCACCCCTCACGGTTCCCCACCCCTCACGGTTTATCCACCCCTCACGGTTTATCCACCCCTCACGGTTTATCCTCCCCTCACGGTTTATCCTCCCCTCACGGTTTCCCTCTCCTCACGGTTTATCAACCCCTCACGGTTTCCCTCCCCTCACGGTTTATCCACCCCTCACGGTTTATCCACCCCTCACGGTTTATCAACCCCTCACGGTTTCCCTCCCCTCACGGTTTATCCACCCCTCACGGTTTATCCACCCCTCACGGTTTCCCTCCCCTCACGGTTTATCCTCCCCTCACGGTTTATCCACCCCTCACGGTTTATCCACCCCTCACGGTTTCCCTCCCCTCACGGTTTCCCTCCCCTCACGGTTTCCCTCCCCTCACGGTTTCCCGCCCCTCACGGTTTCCCGCCCCTCGGCACCGCCCCGGACGGCGGGCGGGGCGGAAGCCGCGGTGTCCGCGGTAACGGCGGAGCCATTTCCGACAGGGCGGCGGCGCGAGGCCGCGGCTTGTTTGTGACCGCGGAGCTCCGACAGGCTGCTTGAGATCGCGGGGCTCCGAGGGGCCGCCTGCGGCCGAGGGCCTGCGCGGGGCCGTGCGGGGCCGAGGGACAGCGGGCCATGGTGCCCAGCAGGGGCCGGCCCGGCCGGGGCCCGCGGGCCGCGCCCGCAGCGGTAGGGGCCGCTGGGCTGGGCTGCGGGGGCTGCGGAGCTGCGGGGCTGGGCTGCCGGGGCCACCGGGCTGGGCTGCCGGGGCCGCCGGGCTGGGCTGCCGGGGCCACCGGGCTGGGCTGCGGGGCTGGGCTGGGCTGGGCTGGGCTGCCGGGGCCACCGGGCTGGGCTGCGGGGCCACCGGGCTGGGCTGGGCTGGGCTGCCGGGACCACCGGGCTGGGCTGCGGGGCCACCGGGCTGGGCTGCGGGGCTGGGCTGCCGGGCGGGTGGCAGCTCCGGCATCACTTGTGCGGTACTGGGAGGTGCATGGATGAGCCTTCCGTGCTCCTATGAGCACAACAAACGTTTCGGTTTTGTCGCGTAAATCTAGCTGAAAGAGCAGCATGTTTTGCCTTTTGATAATAGAAGGCATATTTAAATGTCAACACTTGTTTTCTTCGTTCTGAGAGTTGTATCCCCGTGGAAGTCACGCTTTCAGTGTATTTTTAAAATTAAAACTAGTGTGATTTTTGTAAACTAAAAATTAGCGATACTTAGAGCCATGATGTATTCTTCATAGTATTTTGCAAAATAGTTCCTTATTTGGCAGATTTTGCTGTTGAAAATAACTTTATTGTTTAAAAAGCAGTTCTGTTGATATGCAATATCAATATTGCAATCAACAATTGTATTGATATTTTTGAGAAATGTAGGATTTAATTTAATTTTCCTCTAATTTGCAGGTTAATAATTGTGGTCTCCAGCTAGTCATCCAGACCTCATCAATACCAGAAAAAACCAAGCCAGTAATTATTACCTTTTTTTGGATAGTTATATTAACCAATGTATGGTATGATACAGACAAATTTGTATGCTTTCAAATAGGAATTAGCTTTTCAATACTCACCTGTTGATTTACAATATCTAATGTATCTGATAGTATTTTGTTAATTTATATAACTCTATTAAAAACATATAAAATAAAAACATACTATAGCCAGACATAAGGTATATGTATGTATATGTATGATTTCTCAATCTTCTATCTGTACCTCTGTCCTGTAATTCCTGAGACCTATTAGTATTGAGGTTGTGTTTGTGTAAAGACATTATTTGCATTTGAAAGCTCTTAACATTTGTCTATAATATTGTGTTACAGTTTGAATTCAGAATAAATAAAGAGCAGTCATCTTTCCACAATAGGCTTCTGCAGCATGATCTGGAAAAAAACTACTCCGGAAGACAAGGTAATATTCATTGAGCTTGGTTTGTTTGTCTTTTGTATCTGTTTTAGTCTTTAAAAAGTAAAGAAAGATTGTATCATGATTAGAAAACATAAGAGTGACAGTGTTTCCTATTTGGCTACAGTAATTCAATGTAATTATTGTTGCATCATGTCCTGAACCCACTGTGCTACTGCCTGCCTTTTTTCATCCTTTTTTCCCCCCACTTATGCAAGAGCATTTTTTCTTCTACCTACAAAACCACAACCTATCAAGTGCCCTACTCTATATTCCCTCAATAGCCACACAATTGTCTAATCAGACATTTTACTGGATGTTTAATATTTTAATATGTTTAGACAAAATTAGTTTTTCTATTGTGTTTGCATACTCTTGGTTTTGCAAAGCAAGATATCACTGCTAACTGTGGTGAGAACTGGAAGAGGCTTGAAACAACATTTCTTGCCACTTCAACCCATTCTGAATGCTCTTTGCCTATGATTGGTATGAGTAGAAGATCAATTTAGTTATCATGGCAACTCTTCATTCATTCTGGTAAAAAATTAAGGCCAGCAGCCATTCAGAATTAGTTGACTTTTAGGGATACTCTGCAACTTATGAAGTAAAAGTAAGTCTGCAGTTTGGTTTTGTTCCCTGTGCAGACCAAAGAGTATTAAGTCCTTTGGTATGTAATGAGCAGCTCTATCGCCCAGCACCATCCAGACTGACAGAATCTTCTGGTTTGGTGTTGTTGAAGCAGAGTACCAGGTCTTTATCAGGACTTGGGGAGATTTCTATTCACACCCCTACAAAACCCAGGGCATGACAAAACAGCCACATTTTTAGTTCATGTGCTTCAGGTAACAGTGGAATCTTCTCATTTCTCTCTCTGTCTTTTACTGGGAGCCTTACCAAAGGTGTTGCCTGGTGCTACCTTTGGGTGTTAAGAGAGGTCAGTAGACAATTGTCAGGAAACAACTAGAAATCTTCTTAAAAAATACAATACAGGCATTTAAATAAATGTTTTTTATAAATATTTCTTTAACAAAAGAGCAGCAATAGGGATCTTTTATATGCCTTTAGGAAGATGACAATAGAAAAAAGTCACTTTACTGCCATCCTGTCATGTTTCAGACTGATAATTGGCTTAAAAGCCTGTGACACAACTAAGTAAGATTTTTGCAACAATGTTAATTGATTTTAATATTTTAGGGGGTTTTTAAAAACAGTTTCGATTTTGAAGGATGCGTAGAGAATGTTGTTAGAGTAGCTAATGATAAAAGTGAAGAGTAGCGCTAAAAAGATTCTAAATTGACTGACAAATTGTTTTACTCAAACAGATACCTAATATATGTCAGGCAACAATGGACTCATTGCTATAGTAGTAAAACAGTTGTCTTGTATATTACAGAATTGATGTTTTTCCTGGTAACATACTTGATTTGTTTGAAGGAAGAGGAAAAAAAAAGAGCAAGCACACTGAAGTCAAGCCTATATTTTGCAGTAGTGTGTATGAATAATGATCTATTTTTTACCAGTATTTTTCAGTGGATCATTTTCCAAATAAGCCAAAGCTCGCAGAACACATTTGTTGATTAATTTTGCAGGTATTTTTAGACGTCCTCCCTTTTTTCCTCTTATATTAATGAAAGGCATAAGGATGAATTTATAAATATGCTTTCAAGGGCTGCCTGTTTCTTGATAAAGGAGTGAAATACCAATGATCTCTAGGTATTGTGTGCACTTACCTTTGAAAGACTTTGCATTTATTTGTGGCTCAGTGAGAGTGTTTCAATATTTCAGTGCTTTATTTTCTAGTTCTATCAGCATCTATTTGATCTGTGTCTTTTTCAATTTATTTTAAGTTGTGTAATACCTTAAGTTCAGGTACTGAAACAATTTTACAATCCTATATTAAAGTATCAATGGGTAATTCTAATAAAAATAAAGGCATTTCCAAAATATCTGCTTACAACAAATTGTTGAAAAATCTCAAAGTAAAGAAATAGATGTACTTTGGAAAGAGGATAGAGAGGGATATAGTCATAATATCAGGAAAGAAAACTGATAAATCATATTACTGAATGTAGGCAAAAAGCACTTTCATGCTTTTCTTTTTATAAGAAAGAAATTTTATCACCTGTCGTTCAAGACATGTATCTACAGAGAAGTAGTTCATGTATTGTCTGTATGATTTTTCAATAGATAACACAAATTTTGGGAGCAGTTCATCAATAGCATTTCCTGTATTGCAACGTACTGCTGAAGAAAAAATCCTGAACTCAGACAGACTTACCCTGGAAAGGTGAGAGGGTGAGAGGCTGCACATGCCAGAGCCTTGGCCCTGGTCTAAAGTGACCAGAGTGACCAGTGCCCCACTAATGGCTGCAGTCAGTGGTGGGTTTGGGTTGTTGGGTTTTGTGTGTGTGTTTCTAAGAGAACTCTGTCCCATGGAGAAAATCTCTGTGTGTGTCCTTGTGATGAATATATCCATAGAGCAGTCATCTAAGGCAGGCAGATTTCTGACCTGAGCAAGCAGTTCATGTGATAGCTGAAGAAAAACCTGAGTGTGAGACTACATCTGTTGGAATTTTAGTGTGATCACAACGCAACTTCCATGTAGTTTCCATGTAACAAGCAAATCTCTGAGAGGAGAGGGGTTTAGACAATTTTGGAAGTATTTCTGCTGTGTTGTCAGGTTATTTTTTTAATAGGCAGGAGTTTCTGCTTTATATACAGAAATTAATTAGCAAACCTAATTAATGCTGTCTTAACCAAGGTAATATACTTTTCTCTGTTCAGTCAGAGTGGGTGAGCAGAAGGTGGATCACTGATTTGTTACTTACTTGTGTGTTCTGTTTTTTCTTTTTTTTTTCCAGGCAAAAATTGACAGTGTGCCCGATTATTGATGGGGAAGATCACCTTCGTCTTTTGAATTTCCAGCATAACTTTATAACTCGTATCCAAAATATTTCTAATCTTCACCATCTTGTTTTCTTAGATTTATATGATAATCAGATTGAAGAGATAAGTGGGGTTTCAACTTTGAGATCCCTGAGAGTCCTTCTGTTGGGAAAGAACAGGTAAAAATAATAAAACCTAACTAAGGCACTCTACCTCTTGTGGTGTAACAGCTGTGAATTCCCATTGCTTCTGTTAGAGTTTCCAGTTTGTGATGTTGCTGTTACACCAGTGAGACCTGGCCTAAGATTACCTAAGTGTCAGGGATCCTGCTGAGGAAGCACACAGATTTTGTGTGCCATGTTCTTCAAAACTTCTTTTCTTAGTAAATTTAAGCAACATTTCCAAAGTACTTCACATGTTCCCATATAATCTTCTGATTGATTATTAAATGTGTTCTTAGATTTGTGTGGAATGTTTTTTCAGATCAAATGTAGTATTAATTGATTATTTATAGCCTATAAAAATATTTCTGCCTGATGAATTTATCTGGGAAACATACCAGACAGATGAGTCATGCATTTTAATGCTTATTTATTGCTTTTAGTCCTGTAGCCTTTAATAATTTTAATAATTTAATACATGTATCTGTGGAATTGCTCACACATCTAAAGGTTGTGGTCTGACTTTAAAAATTTTCCTCATTTTCTTACATTCAGTGAAGTGAGAACTGGTGACCAGATTTCAGTTATGTGCAGATTATAAAGAATGTACCTCCTAATTCAGCCTGTGTTCTAAACGGAGAAGTTTCAATAGTGCCATATGTTACTAGAGCTAAGAGCTTTTGTATTAAAAATCTCACCTGTAGAAATCAATTTTGTTTATAGTAAAATGTTGGGGTTGTTGGTACTACAATTTTAAATGCCTTGAAGAATTATTTTCCTTATCATAACCACCCTGAGTGCAGTTTACCTTAGGAGTGTGGTGTTGAGGTAGTTAGGACTTGGCCTATCAGTGAGTGAGTGGTTACACATCAGAGTTGTTACCAACTTGTTTCAGCTTGACCTGTGTGTGATCTTTGATTACTCTCAAAGCAAATGCTCAATACATGTGTTTAATGTCGTCAGACAGTAGATGATGCTGTTGGGTGTGTAATAGCCTAGGTTTGGAATCTGACAAAATATGACAGGACAGAAAATTTTTGAGAAAATGAAGTTGTTGACTTTGGTTGCTAGTGGAGCAAGAATTCCATCCTTTTCTTCTTTCTAGAAGAGCCACATAAATTCTGCTCCCCTTGAATTATTGACAGTCAGAAAGGAAGATGATAGTGTTAAAATCATACTCATTTATATGTCAATTCTTTTTTCATGGTTCAAAATTTTGGTTTTTTTCTGTTACTCTTGTTAGTAAAAAAAAAGGCTTTATTTTGTACTGACTGGAAAAGAAAAGATTCTTTTAATCTAATATTTAAAATAATTGTCATAATTGAAATCTTGCAGAATAAAGAAGATCTCAAATCTGGAGAACCTAAAAAACCTTGATGTTTTAGATCTCCATGGAAATCAGGTACAGTACAATAACTTGATTGCTTATGTTTGTTGTGTAGACATCATGTATTTGCTGTGTCTTCTACCCAAGTATTGTTTCTTTAAAGGGAACTGGTGGCAAATTTTGTAGCTCTTGGGATCACAGAAGTCAATAAGTTAATAAATAGTGTTGTGATTTTTATTTTGAATTTTTGTACCTTGTGCTTTCAGTGTTGTACTTCAGAAAGGATACAGGGATTAAAATGCTGAGTTAGCCGAGTATGATGACACTCCTACCTACAGAACAGTAAACTACCACAAGCAGTTCTGGTGCAGTTAAAGTAACACAGTCCTAGAACTGCTATAACATTTTTAGGTACAATTGATTGCTTTTTTTACTGTTGGTGGTCTGACAAAACCAGATTCCCTACACACGTGTAAAAGAGAAGAAAAAGACAAGTTAGGATTGTAGGGACTTATAAGTGGTGCAAGAAGTTTGTGGCGCTTTAAATCCCATTATTTGAACAATGAGCACGTTGTGCAGTGGCAGAGGCACTCTATGCCCAGTGATGGCATTACCCTTGGAGTCTTGGCCATCTCCAAACATATTCATTCATAAGTGTTTGTTTGAACAACACAATCCTTTTTGTATTGCTGTTGGAAATTTGATGGGGAGTTATGTTTTTGTTAAAAATACTTGCAGACTAACACTGCAGCTGTGGCAGTCAGCAAGCTTTCCCAGCACAAATGAAGGAATCACTGATGAAAATTAAACACATCTTGCACAATTCTTACAAGTGATTTTGATGTAAAGTGGAGATTTTTTTTGTCTTCAAGTATCTATCTAACTATTTACATTATCTGCAACTTTACTAGGAGTTTTGGGCTGATTGTTGCTGGATCAACTTCATAATTATAGGCCTGCTTTGATACAGGGAATGTAACAAATATGTCAGGAGCTAACATTAAATCTTGGAATTTCGGAAATTATTTTGGTTTTCAAAGTATTTTCATCATAAATGTAGATGTGAAGGGCAAAAATGTTTGGAAATGGAGTTAGTTATTTCCTTTTTTGGTAGATTTAGTGTATTTTTCATATAAAGACCAAATAAAGGCTATGAACTTATCTTCCATACATAAATTATCTTTCTCTTTCTTTCTAGTCAAAGATAAGCATGTTTTCCTGTGTAAGTTCTTTTTTTCCCTGCCTTTGAGGAATTCAAAATTTATAACAATCTGCCATCCCATATCATTAGTTATTTTTGAATGCTTAATGAAGAAATGAAGGGGAAAATGCTGTGTTTGGGATACATCGTAGTGGACTAGTGCTTTGTTTTGAAGGATGGGTTTTGTTGTTGTTGGCTTATAAAACCCTGAATTAAGGGAGCTCCTTTAACTATTTAAATTCATGGGATTTTTATTTTTGGCAGCCTTCTTGTCTATCTTAAAGGGTATTTTATCTACATTGCAAATTTCTGAAGAGCAGATTTCAGCAACATAATTTGCTCTGAGAATTTCAAAATATGGTTTCTCATGTGTAAGAATGTAGAAATTTAAACAACACATCAGAGAATTGAAGCCAGACTTATCTCAGTGGTGTTCAGCAAAACGAAAATAATCATTGAGCATTGGGATGTACAGGATCTCTTATATGTTACCAGTGATCCCAGGTGAACACTGAACAATTAAATCCTGTGCACAAGTTAGAGACAAGGTATTGGAAATACACTAGATTAACTATTAACACAGTAATATAGACACCGAATTGCATCAATCGGGGGCTCTACACATAAATTTTATTCTAGACTGCTTTAAATATGAAATGTCATTGGAGTAATTTCCTGTGTTCTGTTTAATTCTGTGAATCATTTTTCTTTCCAGAAGTTCAAGATGTAAGTAAAATTATGCAACCTGATTTTTTTATGCATGAACTTCTTTTCATTAATCTCGAAAAATTTTTTTAAATATGCAGCTTTCATTTGTGCAATTTAATTATTGATGGGTGATTATTTGGTGCATAAAAGTATTTTTCTGAATTCTATTTCATAGTGAGGTATTCAAAGAAACAAGCAAATGAGAAAATAAATAGTGGTTTTGTTCAGTATTTACAACTAGACTTTGACTTGTGTACTAATTTCTTTTTGATACTATATACTAATTATTTGAAACATGCAAGAGGAAGTGATAATAGCTTGTATTATATCTTACCTAATAGTCCATATGAAAAGCTGGTGTACCTTCATGTGTGCATGCCTAATGGAAATAGGCAATACAGTAAAGCTAATCTTAAAGCTTAGCGAAGTGGTAAAGAGTATTTCTATATGTTGCTGATGAAATCATTATTTTTGCAATAGCAGTGAAATCCCAGGATTAATATTCTAGACTGTGGCATTCTAGCCTGTAATTCTAGCTGGGGAGACATCAGCAGAGCTCTGTGGTCTTCATGCCAACTGTCTGCTCTTGGGGTTGCTTTTTAAAAAAAAATATCTCTGTATAAAGATCTTTTAAAAAGTGGTATTTTCTGTTCCTCTTGCTATAGTATTTTTGTATGAAATCTCATAAATGAATAGTTTAATTAGCAGTTGAATCAAAAGTTTAAGCACTTTGAATCAAAAGTTTAAGATGTTATTTAATTTTGGCCTTGTATCTACTTTTGTACGCTTTTTAATTGAGAAATTGTTGAAATATTTCTTATAACAGCATATTGCAGTCACATGTACACATATATGTGTATGGATATATAGAAATTGCCAACAAAATGGGGCATCCTCAAACTGTTAAATAATGGCTACCTTACCTCTTCTGTTCCAGGAGCTGCTAGACACTTTGTGCAGAATGGCATGGCCACACTTGCACTGGGGTAAAGCAGCAGGAAGTTCCATGTCAGACACCAGCCACTCTTTACTGCTCTGCACCATGGCACTGCTGGCCTCTTGGAGGAGGATAGTGTGCCTGGGCACTGGGTGCTAAAGGGGGCTCACAGGGGTCCAGAGATGTTAATTTTAATTGTCAGGGAATGATCTGTGTTGGTAGCTCTTTGCACTGCCAAAGCCTTGGGGCTGTTAAGTATTTTCCACAGGAAAACCTGCTGGCTTCTTTCTGCCACCCTGCATGGATTTCACTGAGAGTACCCTACTGTCCCTCGTGCAGTGGCTGTCCTTCTCCCTGTGTGCAAGTCAGGCATGAATTCAGCATAGGCTGGAGGACAGATCCCACCCTGCCATGAGAAATAACTACCTGGATAGAGAGCCTTGTGTGGATCACTGGGAAACATTAACAGCAGGAAACAAACCAACCCATACTGAATCATCAGAGCATTGATCAATGCCTCTGTAAAATACAATGGTATTTCTAGAAATAAAAACTAAAATTAAGGATCATTAGCTATTATTGCTCTTTTTGTGCCTTTTTTTTCTTTTGCTTTGTCATTATCGCGAGTCTTTAAAATAGGTTATTAAGTATAAAAACAAGCATCTGCCAGCTGCCTGTTTACTGTAATTCAATCTTGGTTAGGTCCCTCCCTTTTCTAATCCCAGGGAAATAAGTGAGTGCCTTTGCAGACAAATTAAGGCTCAACCATGCACAAAATTCCCCCATTTTGGCATACCACAATACCATCGCTGTTGTTTTGGTTTTGTGTCTTCATGGTTGCTGCTACAGAGCAGCACAGCTGAAATAACCTTATTTCTGATGGGATAGAAGGAAATGTTAACTGAATTTCTCTGCAGGATGGCAAGAAAAATGTGGGTGAATACTTGTTCTTGGTCTCTGAGTACCATGGTTTAGAGAAACACAGGCACACTATTGTATGAAGCTGATAGTTCATGTACACTTTTAGAAAATGTGTGTCATAAATATATATATATATACACATATATTTTATATCCATATAAAACACAGTGTGCATGTTTATCATATCTCTGACAGATTGCCAAAATAGAAAACATTGGTCATTTAAGTGAACTGAGGGTGTTAAACCTTGCCAGGAACCTCCTCACTGTTGTAGAGAACCTGAATGGACTGGATTCACTCACAGAGCTCAACCTCCGTCATAATCAAGTCTCTGCTATAGTAAGGAGCAAAACTCTTGTCCTTCTCTTTTTTCTTTTTCATTTCCTTTTCCTTGGTTTTGACAAAATGAATGTTAACTAACTTCTTTAGACTATATCAGTGTTTCAGATTTTTGACATATGGTGTTTCCTCATATTGTGTTGCTTATGTTGTTCTGCTGCAATACTTAATTATACAACATAAAGGTGAAACAAACACATTCATTTTGGTGTTATTTTCTTTAAATGTTGTCAGGAAGATGGGACTTAGATGACCTTTAAAGGTCCTTTCCAACCCAAACTATGCTGTGATTCTATGATGACTTGTAGTGTTTCAAATCTTGAAAGCTTATGATGTTCCTTGGGGAGAGGAGAAGAGATGTTGTGGTTCTGACGTGCAAACTTAGATACTCTTCTTCCATACAAATTCATGTTCAAGAAACAAATCATCTCAATTTCTGTCAGTTAGCCAAGCCATAAGACCATCTTAAATTTCAACTTAAGAATGTTGCTGGGGCAAATGCAAAGAAAACAGGTATTGATTGTAAGAGCAGAGTTTTCGAATGGAAGCTTCAACTCAGTATTTAAAGTATTCTTTGTGGGAATCCAGAGCTTCCCTCTGGCTGCCCTGGAAGGTCTGGGACCCTGGCAGGGAGCCGAGAACCCCCCTGTACAGAGCTCCAAGAGACACTGTCTCTGATCTCTGTCCATGGAAAAGAGTTTTCAGTCTTACAGGATTAATTACAAGCTCTGAGTGTTTGATATGAGTAATAATTAAGTGTGGCATGGGTGCAAAAGTAAAATTTTAGGATTCTAGATTAGGGGTTCAAAGGGGACAAGATGGAGGAAATTGGGTGTGCCTTGTCCTTTTTCTCCTCCTTCATGTCCTCCATGTTTCACTGTAGTGTTGGCATTTTTCTATTGGTTTAGGTTGGGGACGCTGTTCAACGTAGGTGACAGATATTGGCACATTATTGTAAATCCAGCACAGGGAGTTTCTGGTATTTAATGTTTGTAACATCCCCCTGAGGGCAGAGCCCCACACGCTGCCCTGCAGGACAGAGAACATGTTAGAGATAAGCAAGAATGAACAACCTTGAAAACCAGCACAGATGAATGATGACTTCTTCTTTGGCAACGGGGCAGAAAGACAGAGACTTTTTAAAATCTTGGAATCATCAATACCACAGATTCCGACAATTCTTATTCTAAAAATTAAGATTTTAACTTTGCAATTTGAGTTGTAGTTCAGATATGGCAAGTGGATTATTCAAGCAAGACCTTTCTAAAATAAAAGTTTACTTAGATAGCTACCTTTTTCTGGCCTGCATAATTTTTTTAGTTCCTGGTCCCCTGTTGCTGCTGAGCCTTTTTTTTTCCTTCAGTTTCTGCTATTTGCCAAGTAGGAATTGTTTTTACATTTCAAAAATGAGAAATTTCTGCTCATTGCTGATTCTGTCACTGTACCTTCCCCTGTGTCAGTGATATTATCTAGAATTCTCTTTGCTTGTAGCTTCTGCCTTTTCAGTTCTCTCAGGTGCAACTTGTACTTTCTGCTGTCATAAGTGGAGAAAGCATGAAATTTAAATTAGTGAATTACAGACTTGGACTCTGCTGTATCTCAATGTTTTAGAGTTTCCTGTCAGGGACAGTGTTTCAGAAGATAATATTCTCTTCAGGGAAATATTTCTTTTACTTGTTGGACTGTGGTTTTTTTTAAGTTGTTGTTGTTTTCAGTATCTTTTTGGGTTTTTACTCTGATTAAATTCTAATGAAATACAGTTTTGTGAGTGTGGATTGTTTTGTTTTTCATTTTTCATTGAATGGTAATTTTAGCAAGTATGGCACTAACTCTGTTTGAGTTTTGGACACATTGTACTGTCTAAAACTAAGTAAATATGGCTCCTAAAAAAATATTTTTTCATATGTTAATGATAGGTGTTGTCTTTTTCTGTGTGTACAATAATGTGCGTGTGTTTCTTCACTTATATTTGTTTGGGTTTTTTTTAAATGAAAAAGCTGCATTCCTTTTGTATGGAAATTCATATTCTGTTGCAATAGGAAATTACTAAAAATGCAGAAATATGGAAAGAAATATATCATTCTATGGAAAGAATACCCAAGATAGTTTTTTTCTGGAGCACTTGAGTAGCTGAGGAAGGGGGGGTTATATTTTTTTAAGATTAATTTGAAGTTCATGTGGTTGACTGTGCAGGTGGAGGAGATATTTTAATCATGATGTTATGATGTAGCACTTAGGTGCAAAGTATTCACTCCTAAGCTCATGAAAAGAATTTGGTTACTGTGCTTTAGTTACTCAGTTACTGTAACAATGCGAATTATGACTTAAGCTTTTTAAACTTGATTATTCCTTCAAATGAAAGAATCTAAACTAAATTTAAAAAATAATTTGCTGTCCTAAAATAATTTTTTAAATTAATCTGATAGAAATAAATTTGAATTTTTTTATGAACCTACCTTATTTTTCACATACCTCCCTTTGACCTACCCTAAGTGTATTATTCTTGTGTAGGAAAAATAATGATCTCATTTGTCAAACAAAAATAGGGTTCCATACTGAACTCTCTGTCCATTGCAATTTATTGTATTGAATAACTTCAGTTATCCAACTGGGTTGTAGCTAATTTAAGGAATTAAATCTGCAATGATCCTTTACAATCCACTGGCCTTGGACTACGAGTTTAGGGACTGTTTTTTGTCTTTGAGCTTTTTTCTATAGACTGAAAATCCTTGACTCATAAGTAGTTATTTTTGTAATAATGAACTGTAGTTGATTCAAAGCTGTGGGATTTGCAGAGGCAGTCCTGGGTCTTGGTTTATAGCAGAAGCATCTTACAGGATTGAAATTTATTCAGAAAGTCTGACTTGTCTGGAGAATAGCAAACAGAATAATCCATTTCCATCCTTTCCATCTAGTTGTGAGTTAGGGCCTCTGTTAGGAAGATTATCTATATTTTTCTTTGGAAGACTGACCTGCTTGTTTGCTTTGAGATATTAAAAATTTAGCATTTTGGGTTTTGTCATCTGCAGCTTGATCTTAGACTTGAAGGAGGACTGGTCAAGGTGTTCACCATTTTTTAAGAAAGAACTCCTGCCCTCTGCCCTTCTCACTATAAGACTTTGTATCAAAATTGAAGTAGCTGGAGAATTTATTTTTTTTTAACAATCCTGTCTAGTGTTTCCTGCCACACCTATGAGAGTTGCAACATGTTTTACAAGATAGCAAAACATCAGGCTAGGAAATTTGTCTTGAAGGGTAATTACTTTGCGTTCCCCAGTGATTAGGTGGAATCATTGCTGCTTAAGCATTACTGTGCACAACCCTATAATGCCTGTCCTTGTGTGAGTATCCACCTGTATCATGTGTGCCCACCCTTTTAAGCATCAACACCAAGTAACCTTAGGGACAGAGGGGATACCCAAATGCATCTCTTTTGTGTGGTCTGGTCTGGGAGGACTCAGGACAGCTCTGAATCAGGAGTTTTTCACCTGCAGACTTGGTCCCATAAGCCTTGCTCATTATATCCAGTGGTGACTATCAGCAGCTTTGTTAGCTTAAATTCAGTGTTTCATTAATAGGAGTTACAGGGTTTGTTAGAGCTGCCTTTGTTTTCCTGTTTGGAATGAACTGTTCTGGACTACTATATAGGCATGTTAGAAATCTGATGAAGGGAGGAAGAGTTGTAGGCTAAAGTCAAGACACTGAGCTCTGATGCTCCTTTCCCTTTCCCAGGTTTATGTCCTCTGGTTTCAAGTTGGAGTATGGCCACTGTTAGGGTAAGGAGATGCAGACTTAGAACTGAGGGGTTAAGTGCGAATGGCTTGTGAGTCCCTGCAGACTGTGCTGTCTGTCTGATATGGATGTATATTTCACAAATGAAGTTTGATCTTACTTAATATGTTTCATCTTACTGATATTTGAGTTATTTGCTTTCTGCAAAGGTATTTAGTGGCGGTATTAAATTTAGAGTTTCGTATTCTATAAACACATACCTTCTAAATATTAATTGTGAAGGTTGTAAAGGTGACAGAGTCCTTCAGTTCATTCTCTGACTGGAGAGTCACTGCTGTCTGGCAGTGCTAATTGCAGCGCTGTATTGCACTTCAAAAACCTTAAAACCTTTTTTCAGCAAGCTTTTTTTTTTTTTTTTTTTTTTTTTTTTTAATAATTTTTTTTTTTTTTTTTTTTTTTTTATTTAAAGCATGTTTATCCTGCAGCTTAAATGCTGAGAAAGCACCTTGGCTTTTTTCCCAGAAGCCTGTTCAGAAAGCAGCAGCAGCCTTATCCTCCTTTTCTTCAACATGATTTGCTTTGCAAGTGATGCAGCATGTTCTGCAGAGTGGGATCTGCACTGAAACACTCCCTTGCAGTCTGCATTAGGGAGAGATGGTGCTGCACGTTCAACAGAAATCAATGCTGCAGCAAGGTTACAGCATTTAGAAATGAAAGCATTTCATCAGGCCAAGTAAAGAGGCTCAAAAGCCAGTTTCATCTGCTGAATTTATGCCTATCTTTTCTTTCTAGAAAGATGTGGATACTTTGCCCTGTCTCCAGCGTCTCTTCCTCAGCTTCAACAATATATATAGGTAAGGGGAATAGTAGTTTGCTTCCTAGCAGTAATTTAAAGTATCCTACTGAAGCTTTATTTCATGAAAATTTGAATTCGAACACTGTAAGTACAGATCCTTTTTTCCTTCCCTAACATATCAGATAAAAACAACCAAGCCATTGTGTATTTTCTACTTTAAGTATAAAAATTCCTGAAACCCTTTGCATTTAAATTTAGTTGTACTATGAGTATTCTACCAAGAAACATATTTTTAATTGAATAATACTGTTTATAGTGGTAAGAAATAGAAGTCGATTTGTAAATATGTTGTTTTGCTGCTAACCTAGTTGTCTGTTAAAGCAGCATGATGCAAGGTAGAAATTATATTTAACATTCCATCACTGTATTTCTGGAGTTATGCAAATTGCTGAGTCAGATTCTGCTTGCTATGGGTAAATTATTTCATGCTTGTATTTTACTTGTCCATGTATTAATAAAGTATGAGAGGTATATTCATGATTCCCTTTCAGACCAGATGGCAGAAGCAAAATAGCTCAACTCACAAAGCTGGGCTTATACAGTTTCAAGTAACAAGAGCATTTTGTTATAAATAGAAATGTTTGTCTTCTGTGCCTTTTCATATTAATGCATTTTTGTACTCTGCCTTTAAACTCATGCCAGTGTTTGAAAAAAACCCTAAGTGCCTGCATTATCTTCACTTTGGTATGTCCTTTTTTTAATCCCTTGATCACCAGCAGCTTTCTTTGTTTAGAATCAAATAATTAAATGTGGGGTAGGGGAAGATGCTTCATGTTCTAATTACTGGAAATGCCATGCTATTCATGTGGTATCTGCTTTCTCTGTAAAATGTACTTAGTAGGAGCTTTTATTGTAGTAGCTACTCAAACATTTTATATTGACCTGCATTATGTGTTTTGCAGATAGTTCCAACCTACTTGTCTGTGTTCCTTAGGTTCTTAAAGTACAAATGCAGTACAACTTAAATACTCATGGCAGTTAAACACTAAAAAACAATTCAGAGATGAGCTGCAGGAGTCTTTGTGCTCTCCCCTTAGTTAATTTGCTAGTCTTTTTATTTTAAGAAGTGAAGAGGGGGGCTTAGCATTTTGCTGCTTTTGAATCATTTCCAGAATTGAGACTTGCCTTTGTTTCTGGCTTTCTAAAAAAAGTCTCAGGTTGGCAGGAGCAAGGAGGAGACTGCAGCAGCTTGGCTCCCTCGCTGTCAGGGAGCATCACTGCAGTCAGGGAAATTGCCCTGTCTTTTTATGGACTTGGTGTCTTTTGTGTGACTTTCTGACTGCTTTCTCATATTGTTTTATGCAAATTCATGTTATTTTTACATTGTTCAGTGAAGGAAAAATGCTTGGAATTTTCTGTGAGGTTTTGATAGATTTCTCAAAGTTTGTGATCAGTAGCTTGCTTCTGGGTACTATATAAAAATTTTTGTCATTTATCCATGGGGGCTTTAGTTGGTCTATTGTTAGATCAAGTCAGGATTTTTGTAAACTACAAATACTTATCTAGAACATATATGGAAATAGATAATTCAGTTTGAGTTTGCAGTTGGATTAGGTATAAGAAGTCTTAAACAAAAGATATTGCTCATCTTTAAGTTTTGTATATGCATATGGGTAGATAAGTGGATTGACAACTAATTCTCTATTTATTATTTTAAATCACACAAAGGAAAAATTTATTTTCAATACATTCAGCCTGGAGTTTTTTAAATGATAAATTTAACTACATATAGCAGTTCTGAAGGCTAAAACCCTCTAAAAAAATCCTTACTTAGAGTTATGTAGTATATATGTTTTCTACCGGGAAGTTATTAAATATAACAAGTATGTTCTTGACCATCTGTGATCTGATGCTTGGCTTGATACTCTTTCAACTGACTGAGGAAGTTCTTTGCAACCATAACACCAATGAATTGCTGTGCTGTATCTGACCATTCCTACACCCTTTAAAATGGTTTTCTTTGCTTTTGAGTCGCTTACCCCATTTGTTCTGGACCACAGGGTAATTTGAAAAATTATTTTTCCTAAAAACGACTGTCTATACAACTGAATTTTGTTTGACAAGCAAATTGGTGCACAAATACTCTTAATTTATCTGTAGGTGCATAAAAAAGATCCCCCTGTAAATGAAAACAAACAACAAAATTGCCAGAACTTGAATATATTTGTTACCATTTCATTGCAATATTTTATTAATGATTATTTTCTAAATAAAATTTTTGAGACAATGCTTTCATGGAAATATTTTCTTATTTCTATTTTTGTATCAGTGACAATACTTAAGTCTTAAATTGACGCATGCTGACATACTGAATTAATATTTCAGTAGAAGACTCAGGAATGCCATTAAAAATTGTCACAATTTTAAACATGAGGATATTCCATGGTTCTTTTTACCTCATACTTCAGAGAAGGGCTCAGAATGCTGCTGCTTCTCTGCAGAAGTTTTAGTAAAAAAGGATATACTGGCAAGATAATGCAAGCTAAAACTGAACTTAATGCTGACAGGCAACAAAGGAAGTCCTGTTTTTTGGCTTCAGCCCAAACAATCTAAGCAGTTACACACTGAAGGTGTTTATACCTGATGGCTGAAGGCAATATCTATATACAGGACTTGTTATAAAGAAATGGGAGAAATCCCATTTTTAATTTGTCATGTGGCATAGGGAAGACATTGCAGTAACATTTGCAGAAAAGATTTGCCACAGATAATCAGAAAGCAAATTATTGCTCATGTTTGAACATGTGAAACCAGGGAAGACCATTTTTTAATCTTGGAAAAAAACCCCATATTTTTAGTGTTACACTGCTGTCCAGGTCAGCATTATGTTGGCTTTTTCATTTAGTCTAGGCATATGGAATGAGTTGGAAACAAACTCATGTAATTTTTGTTCTTCATTTGGTTGCTGAATTGGAAACCTGAGAGAAGCAATGTTCTTAGCCTAATAGAAACAAGAAAGTACCTTTTTAACTCAGCAAGATGAAAATTTGTAAATGCATTGTTAAATGCGTGAACAAAAGCAAGTAAAGGGGAATGAAAGGTTCATAGTAGTTACATCTGTTTTCATAGATAGCTTAGTAGTTAGAAACATGGAAAAACACAAGTTTTCTTCTTGGAGTATTTTTGAACATACCGTTCCCTTTCGGGTGTTCTTTCAGACTATAGTAAGTATGTTGCCTTCCTTCTCTATTCCAGAGCTTTTCCCCTTTGTGCAACACGCTTTTAAAAGCTGATGCAAATGTGTAGAGAAGGAACAACTGTCTCCCTAAACAAGCAGGTTAAAACAGAAAATGAATGTTCCTGTGTCCTGTGAATGTGTCTATCACTGGTGCAGGCTGAGCTACAGAGTGCTCTGCTGTTAACTAATTACTGCATTGTGATATCAGAAGCGGAAGTGGCTTTGTGTCCCTTGGGCAGAGGGGAGAACTGGATGCAGGATTTGGAGCATGCACACAAGATGGAAAACTGATCTATTTGCAAAAGATTTCCAGAAAACACTTTCCGATAATTTAGCCCAAATTTGTGACTTATTTCTGTGTTGCTGAAAAGACAATTTCAGCAAAGACGATTTATGTAAGAAGAAGAACAGGAATGAGAGGTGGTTGTGTCCTGCAGGAGAAAGTCTTTTGGAAAGAGAATCAGACATTCCACTTGAGAAATTTGACAGAGGCAGTCTGACACAGCACCATCCAGAGCTGCTTTGTATTTCCTGAGCAGGTTAAAGGCTCCTTTGTGGTGAGCAGAGGCTGGAGAGAGCCTTGAGATGTGGCCTCTGATTCGTGTTGGGTGGTCACCACGGGACTCTGTCCCAGCAGTCTGCATGCTGGGAAGCCAACAGAGGCTTGGTTGTAACCCATGCCATCTGTTTGGAAATGTAGCACACTAAAGCTTTCATTAGTTTAGGATTAGGATATCAGTGTGACAAGTACAGGAGATGAACTTTTCTGTATGGAATTTCTAAAGCTCAGGTTTTTTTATGTGTATACAAAGATGTGAAAACATTTTTTTGCACTTTTTCTTTCTAAAACTGATGTGCTAATAGGCCACCTAAAAGCAGGATAAAGCAAGCACATCTGTTTTTAGGTCCAGAGTGAATGTTCTGGCATGCTGAAGCAGTGAGAATTTCAAAGCACAGCAGTATGTGTAAGTGGAAGGTCTTGAAAACACACTAGTAATCTTTCAACTTTTCTGTCATTTCCTGAAGAAATTGTTTTTTATTAAAAATGTGTAAATCATATGTAGTGAAAGAAGTACTCTTTGGTTAAATGTTTAGTGGTAAGTACTTGGAATAAATATATTTAATGCTTTCAAATATACTTAAAATAATTTTGAAGACCAAAGATTTTCATATTTTTCAAGCAAAATTTGTTCTAGCTCAATGGAAATTCAGACTGTGGGGGTTTTTGTTCTAACATGTTTGAGTTTGCCTTACTAACGTCTGTGTCATTTGGGAAGATTATCTTTTATCTTTAGGACATATTGAGTATATATTTTATGTAATATGTCAGACTGATCTTCCAAAAATGCACTTCCATAAGCTGTTTTCTGGAAAGGAAACAGGATCATAAAAAGAAACAGAAAATAATAATCAAGCTTTAAATACACATACAAAACTGCCAATTCTTCAGATATCCTAAGAACTTTCACTGTCTGTCACAATCTACCCACAGTTTATTTTCCATTGGTTTTTAGATTGTTTTCATGCACAAAGTACAAAGGCAGTAATATCTTCCTCTTTACTGTCACTTTTCTGCTGTGCCCTTTGAGTGTACAGTGCAGGAGCTCCTTGCATGCTGTACCAATTGCACCAGAAGAGTTATTGCAACTTTATTCAGTGACAGTCTTTGAAATGAACATCTGTACTGCTTGTGTTTTCTGATCACTAAGTTCAGGGCATACTTAAGGTTTGACTTGGCTTAAGGCAGACCTGACTTTGGAATGCCAAAGGACATAAGGATGGTGCAGTGTCATAGATACATTGTAAACATGTTAGGCAGTCTTATTTAGTACCATAACTATTCAGCTTTTTGTATTAAAATCCAGTCAAATAGTTCTCTGTTGTTTAAAAATACTAAATATCTGAGCTGCTTTTTTTCACATTTCATTTTCAACAAAAGGAACACTACAGAAGTTATACATCTCTAAATGTGTTTTACACAGTTCAGTTATTTTTTGGCAGGTAACCAAATCTGATGTGTTCTAATAAGCCAACTGGTTGTAGACTGAGCTCAAACTAATGGACTAATCTGTTTTGAAGATGATGGTTTTGTAGTTGTTTTACTTCCAATATTAATGATTATTCAAACACTTAGGATCATTCTGTGATACTTGTGGTTGGCTTTCTCTCCTTGTACTTTCCAGGTTTTTCATGCTGCCTTTGATGGCAAATACACCTATTGTATTTCTGAATATGAATTTATATGCATCATATTTTAGCAGGGGGTTTGATTTAAATACTCCTATAGTTCTCCTTATTCTGCATATCTTTTTACCTGTATGTGAAGGGAATAAAAGGTTTACCAGCAGAAGCTGTTGGTGTTTCAGAATACTTGTATTTATCATATGCAGTGATACGTGGAAGTGTTTCAGTACAGTTAAATATTTATGTTCTGTCCTTAAGAAATAAAATCTTCCATCTCAAAATTATTCCTACTCCATGAAATTTCAACTTTAAACTCTTTTGGTTACAGTTTTGAGGATATTCTGTGCCTTGCTGATTCCTCATCCTTGTCAGATATCACCCTTGATGGCAATCCAATAGCTCAGGAGACATGGTACAAACACACTGTTCTCCATCATATGATGCAGCTCCGACAGCTAGATATGAAGAGAATCACAGTAAGAAATTTCTGTTTTCATCAAATTTAATAGATCAAATCGGAAGTAAAATGCAGGGTTTCTCTGTGTATGTGTATATTAAAAATACAAAGTTTTTTTCTTTACTATGGAATTGAATGGTGAATAGACATGACAATATTTAAAACTTTAACCCTTTTCTTTAGTTCAGTATAAAGTAAGGGTTTGCATTTACTTCATTTAACATGTTTATTTTGAAGTGGTTAAACTCCAGCAGCAAATGATGCATGTTCAGCTGCCATGTGACATGAGAGAGCCTGCAAAATTTTTGGTTAGACTTTTCCTAACAGTCTTTGCTGATTTTTTGTATAGTTGAGAAGGAACAGCACATAACTTCCAAAGGAGTGGTCTGTTTGCCCTAAAACTGCTGTAATTGATATATTTTATTTAAGAATTTAATTGGTTTCTTTAATCAGCCTCCCTAGGGAGATCTGATGATCACACAGTTTGTGTGTCTGTCTGAATTTCTCTCTTCCTAACCTACTCTCCCTCATAATTTCTGTTTCTGCTGCTCAAGTAATCTTGATAAGGGAAGAGAGAACTCAGTCTCTACAGGCTTCTTGAAAATCCACTCCAGGGAATGAAAGACAATCACCAGGGTCTTACCATAATGTGACCTATTTTATCTTTTAATATAGGAATAGGCCTGCTAATTCTTCTGTGCCTACTCGAAAGTGATGTGTAAGCATGATTTCTTACCAGAGAAATCTGTCCAGCAGCAAGCAACAGTGATACAGTGGTAACCTTTTGGACCAGGTGCTGATACATACACCTTCTCTTAAATGCTCATTTGCTTTGTACAAAGGCTGTACTGCATTGTGAATTGCAGCTGATGCTTTTTCATTGAGCCTGTTAGGCTGAAAAATATAATGTGTGTGGAATAATTTTAAAAAGAAAGCACTTTGGGACATGAGAGTTTTGCTTCTGTCATTGAAAATACTAAATACTTGTTTGTTCACAGATATTCTAAGCTTCAGGGGCTTTTATATTTTATACTGACCTAATAATTGCTTAATAGCTACTTTTATTATGACTTTATACTGACTTAGTAATTGCTAATTACTTTGCTTTTAAAAAACTTGTTTTATCAGTATTATTTCAGGAACCTGAGTTGCATAAAGAAAGTATCTTTCCATCTTCCCACTTTAACCCTTGTCAAGCAGGGATGGATCCTGGTGGAAATATCAGTGATGGGAAAAACTGTAGGAAGAGCTCAAACTCCTTTTTAGACTCTGAGATCTGTATGGGGGAAACAATGTCAGAAATTCACAGCCATGGGAAGAACTTAATCTGGGTTTGCACCTTGTTAAACATCAGAGAATCAACCACAAAGACAAAAAAGCCATAGAAAACCAGGCTTCACCAGTTGTGCTGCTCATAAACCTACTTGTAAAAATAATGTGTTTTACATTCTTTATTTGCCTTCTGTTTTTTGAGCCTTTTAACATTTTTCTCCACGTAGAGGGTGCTATATATTTTCTCCAATAAAAACTGTTACCCAGATAATCTTATGACTTAAGAAACTGGGATTTAAAGAAAAATAACAAGTATCATGGGATCTGTGGTAAAATTAAAGAGCTGGCAATCCCAAATCCAGCTATTCTGCCTAGCACTGCAATATGCTGTTGCTGTCAAGCTGTAAGGGTAGATCTCACCTGGTGGGGAATGGACTTGCAGTGTTGAGTATGTGACTTGCACTCTTGATTAGTGTAAAAAACTGAACTCTAATTACATTTATAGGATCTTTTCTTCATCAACCTGAAGAACATTTAGGCCATTTGAACTTTAGGGTTGCTTTTTCTTATAATAAACTGAGAATTGGATGATTGTTGGGTTTTTTTTCTGACTAGGAATTCTTTACTAACTTGTTCAGAAGCTTTTCTGCTCAAGAACTGTCTTTTACACAGTTGCTAGTTCTGATTTTAGCTTTTCTTTTACTGAAGGATATTGTCAGAAGTTTGCATGAGACTTAGAAGCTTCATTTATGTTTAGTTTCAAGAAGATACACACTTTGGTGCCAGGCTTTTTCAACAGGATTCCCTGGAGAAAGGAGCCCTGGTGCAAAAACGTAATGACAGCTGTCTCTTCTCTGCCTTAGAGCACTATTCAGAAACATAGAGGTTCCATGAAAACCAAAGACACTGTACTTGGAATAAAACATTTGAGCACTGTAATTATTCTAATACTGTTAAAGTTGGGGTAGATTTGCCTTTAAGCAAGGGATTGTATTGAATTATGACAACTCTTAAAACCTGACGTTGTGTGGAAGCTGATATTTTCTTAGGCCACCTCATTCCTAAGCCATTTTTGAATCTAAGATTCAAGTTATTGAACCACTTAGCATAGACCCAGTTGTGATGAAATCAGTGGAGGTTAGTACCTGTAATGCTCTTCACTTGTTCATTGTCCACACAAGATGATTTTCAGCTGAAAACCCAACCACTTGGTGTTGTGTATCTAAAACATCAGCTCAATGGAAATCTTTTGCTTTCTTGAGCTTTGGTTGCTCAGTCTAAAGGCTTAAACACTGGGCAGGAGGGTGAATTATCGTGGATGGACTCCTGTGTTCACTTGTGTTCCTGTCAGTAAGTCACTGTTACACCTTTGCCTCACCTTAGCTACAAGGTGATGGGACTGGATGATTGGATCCATGGAACAGCTTGTGCAGAGCCTTACAGTCAGAGCAGGCTCAGGTTGCATTTGAGATTATTTACCTTAGTTCACTCCACATAATGGTTTTTTGTTTTTCTGGGCACTGAAGCTTTTTCACCCTGTCTCGTAGTTTGAACTTTTTCAAAAGTGGGCCTGCCCAGTGGTGTTTACAGTTTGATTGGGACCTATTTCTTTTCTTCCACTCTTTTGTAATAGTAAGCAGAGATTGTCTGCAGATATGTAATAAAGTATTTAAATATTATTGAAATGTGTACATATTCCTTATTAAAGAGTTACATAACCAGGAACATGTGCTATCCATCACTTCCAACAGTGATGGATACTAAGTGTGTATATATTCCTATATGTGTGTAAATATGATATATAATGCAAATTTTTAAAAATGTTGCCAGATTGAAACACAAGCTGTGTCTTTTTATAAGTAAAGCTTTTGATTTTTTCATTGAAGTTTTATATTTTTAGAAGCTTAAACTAAGAGCTGTTTGATTTTGATTATTTGCTTAGACATATCATTGCTGGTCAGGGAGTAGGTTCTACTGCTTTATCCACGATGGAGTTCATTATTGTAGGCCATCACTGCCATAAAGTGTTCTGAGGGGTTTTTTTTTAGGGAGGGATCCCTGGTGGGGTTTTTCCTTTCCACTGGGAAATAAGATACTGAAGTGTGACTCTGTGTGACCTAAATGGTGTCATTTGTTGAAAGGAGGCTGTTTGAGGAGGAAGGGCGCGGTCAGTGCCGGATCCCCCCGGCGCTGGCGGAGCTGCAGCGGCGCGCGGCTGGCGGCAGGGGGCGCCATGGCCGCGGGAAAGGCCTCGGGGCCGCGGCGGGCGCGCCCGGTCCGGCCGGGATGGACAGGGACGGACAGACAGCGAGGGGAACCAGTGATACAGGGCGAAACCCCTTCCTAAAGAGAAGGCATGGTAGTGAAAATGAGCTGTGGCAAGGTTATGTTTCGTAACCTTTTTGGTACTCTGGGGAGTGTTTTGTGGATTCCTGGGGAATGTGTTTTTTAAGATTGCTTGCATGTGTTGTGTAAGATTATGCACATGCACTTCATCTTTATTCAGAGATTTTCTCTATCACTCTGCCTTTATGAATACTGAGTAAAGCTAAGGATATGTTTTATTTTTTGGCTAAGCTAATTTCTTTTGGAAAAGGGTAAGTGTTTTTTAAATGTCTGTAATTAGGATAAACTCTTGATCAAGGAAAAAAGTCTTATTCAGTTAATACTCTTGTTAGAATGTGATTTTCTTTAGTTGATTTTGATCTTTGTATGGAGACTGTTGGCAGGGAAGGTACAGGACTGACTCCAGTGGGGGCAGTAGACCCTCCTGCACGGAAGACAGAATCATAAGGTACACATCTGGTACATACTGGATTAAGGAAAAGCTTTGAGAAGGAAGATAGAGTAACAAGAGATTTGTAGAAGCTGAGAGAAAACCGATTTAGGGAACTTTATAGATGATTGATTTAAAGCTTGGAAAAAACTACAGCAAGTTGTTTTGAAATGAAGAAATTCAACAAAGGCTAATTGTCTATTAATGTAATTTTGTTATCTAGCTCTCACCTCCATCAGTGTGAAACACAACACCAGCTCAGTTAGTTTGAAACTGAGTCTCTGATGAGTGGCCAGATGTTTTCTGCCAAATAGAATGGATAGTTTCTGCTTCCTCTTCCTTGGTGGTAAACTAGCTTACATTTCTCTTCTTTCTACATACCAATTCAATATAATCAAACTTCTAGGGAACAAGAAAAGTCCCTTAATTTATGACTTCTAAATATACTTTGTTATTTGATATGATCAATGTGTTGAAAAGTCATTAGAGAAGATGAAGACAAAAAAAATTGTAAAAAGCTTTTTTAGGAAGTTTCCTTTTTGTTTCTTTGGGAAGCCTAGTTTAAAAGCATAGATAAACAGCCAAATGAAGCAATTTAATTAAAAAATAAAAATTCCCTGAAACAAATCTAACCTGCTCTCTAAAGAAAGATATCACTAATGTAGTTTGCTAGTGTTTATCTTTTATTTTAAGACTTGTGTTTTTTACACAAAACAATAACAGAATAATGTAATACATAATTAGGATAATGTTTGCAGTTCTGAAAATTCTGAATCATATCTTGAAGAACAGTATATTTTTATTTTGCATTATTAATGATGCATTCACATTTGTGACATATGACCTGCATGGGGTTTTAGTTCATGATTTTCACAGCCTGCTCCTGAACTCTCCCATTCACATATAGGATTTCATTGTGTGGTACTTTGTTGCAGTGGCATCTAGAAGGCCTTCTTGTATCTATGTATATTTTTATTTTGTTATTCAGTTACTGGTGATCTCTTTTAACATGAACTAGTGACCTATGGAAGTCCTTCAAATCTGGATTATGCTCTAATTCCATTACACTAGCCCCTTGGAAATACCCTGTTTAGGAATAGGTTAAAAGCCCAGTAGCAGAGGAGGCTGCCAACAGTAAGAACTTCACCAGTAAAAGACAACTTGCTCTGAAAATAAATAAATAATAAAAAAAGTTAGGGGCTTTCCAGTTGGTGTTCCAAGGAAGTTCTTGCGTACAATTGTGTTAGGGAAGCTTACTCTGCCCAAAGCCTCATGCCTTCCTGTGCATTGAGGTACTCCTCTTGTTTAATGTGTGATATGAGGATAAAGTCATGGAGGAACAGTTTGAAAATCTGTTCTTTAACCCCTTTTCAGACTGATGCCAAAATCCATGGTGTGTCAGTGGGTTTCAGGGGGACTGTACGCAGATCAGAGTAAGTCTGGTACATGCACCGAACTTCTTATGCTTAGAAATTGTTTTCTTAAAAATGTAATAGCCATGCTAAGTGTCAAGTTCCTGTTTTATTTTATCTTCCAGTAAGCACTCACCCATGTGCTTAGGGGTTCTTACAATACTATAAACATAGCATGTTGTATTTATGTAGAAATTTTGGCATGTCAATATATCTTACTAGTTGATGGTGCTTTCTGTTCATTTTTGTTTGTTAATTTTGTTAACATATAACTTTTCCAGAAAATGAAAAGGTTTGGACAGGAGCTTTCTATTTTGAGGAAATGAAAACACTTTTCATATGTTCTGGGAGGAGGCTTCAATAGAAACACCCAAATGGCATGTGAAGTAGATCAAAATAAGTTAAAGTATGCTTCCCAAATATTTGTGTTGGAAGAACTCTACACTTTTTATTTCATAGTGAACATTTCTTTTGTTACTTGGAAAATATATGTTCTAAAAATACTATGCTGTGAGAATGTTTAAACTTCTGTAAACAAGGAGCATCCAACCTAATATGGGTGTATTGCAGTATCAAATTGCTGTACCAGGAAAATGAAGCAGCTTCACTTTAATTGTTTAAAAATCAATGGGTTTCTTCTTGAGACTTCATGATTAGGATGTAATATTGATGGGACATAATGGTCATGGAATATGTAACTTTGAAAATGTTCTGTCTTCTCAAGTTCTGTTGCCGATTGAGAAAAGCCAGGCCCTCGAAACAGTCTATAATGATGAAAATTAATTCTGGATTATGATTCAAGCATAAATAGAACCCAGTTTTTTTTGCTCTGTGTGGTTTTTTTTAAAAAAAAAAAAAATCCTGCTAATTGCAAAAACTGCTACAAAAATATGAAGATATATTGCACTGTCATATCTAAAAATATTTTTACTGGTCACCATATGCTTTATACTTTTTCAAAGACTCTCACATATATTACCTTTAACTTGCTTTATCTGCGTAGTTATTTATTTTGTTTCTCTTTATCTGCGTAGTTATTTATTTTGTTTCTCTTGACTTAGTTATAATTAACAATTTGATTGGTTTTAATAGTATTTAGAAACATTAAAATGATAAAAATTCTAAAATTGTGTTAAAATTTCCATTTCATATACCAACACAAGAGCATAATTTATCAGTAATACTTTTCAGAACTGGCTTAGTTCCTCCCTTTAGGAATTTGTTTTCTTTTTTTCATCCAGGAAGAAGAAAGACGTATGGCATCTATTGCAGCAAGGAAAGAGGAAGAAAGGAAGCGTGAAAGCCATAGACAGACCTTGCTTAAGGTATTGTCTGTGGCTCTTCTAAGGTTACTGTAAACCACTTTACAGCAAAATTTATATCCCAATTTTTTTTCTGCAGATATTAGATTATATAGTCCAATATGCCTCCATCTATTTTCACAGCTTCAGCTGTGCACTCCATGACTGAGACTCTGTTCAGTCAAATATGCAAGGTACACTTTAGCAGAAAGCCCACATTGAACATATGTCAGTGGATGGGAAACTTCATTTTCGTAAATCCAGGCTAAAGTGAAGGACTTCTTCAGTGATTTCACATTCCTTGGTCTCCCCTTTCTAAGTGAACACTCTGGCTACAGCCATGCAGGGTGTTCTGCAGTAGTTTTTCCTTCATTGTTTCCTGTTGAATTTGTTCCTTTCTGTGGGTAGAGTGAGGGGGCCCAGAGGCCACAGGCAGAGTCCAGCTGTTGTCTCTGTCAGCAGAACCCTGATCCATCTTATCTCCCAGCCCAGCTGACCTGGCTGGTGCTGACACACCAGAGACAGAAGTGCCCCACCAGGGGAGACCCTGGTGTCCTCCAGAACACTCTTCATGGGGCTGCTGACTACATGAGCTGTGCTCCTAACAGGAGACCAAAGATCAAGAATCTAAGAGTATCTATGTTCCATTTACTGTGTGACTATCACCATTTGGCTCCAAGTCCCTTTTTTCTGAGGAAAAAAGTGCCTACATTTTTTTGTCAGCCAGTAATGCCTATACAATCTCTTTCAATTTGGAAGTCAAATAAACAAGAAATGTTCATGTCCATATTAAGTTTCCTAGGTAAAATCATATTTCAAGAAGGGGATTAGACTGGATTAGTTGCAGGAGGCCATAAGAATTGTAGCAAACATATGTAACTGAAAAGACACAAACAGAATGTTAACAGTATGTTAAAAGATGTTTTAAGTATATCAAAACCCCTCCAAGAACCTAAACATATGAATATGGGGGGAAATTTTGTCCAGTGAATAAGAATGTTTTGCTTTCATGTATATTTGTATCCATGTATATTTCTATTTGATTAAAAATATTGATATAATAAAAAAAGATTTAGATACAGTTTGAGGGTGGTTTGGGGTTTTTTAAGCAGTGTTGTTGTTTGGTTTTGGTATTTTTACTTTTCCTGCAAGATATTGATGTATTTAAAGTCCTTTCAGATTTGAAGGGTTGGTGACAGATCTTAGTAGCATAAAGAAATGGAAAATTAGTAAAGAATTTTCACACATGGCATTCTCTGGCTGTTGAAAATGTCCCTGACTAGAAAAAAAAAGTAGGTATTTATCTGTAGTTCATGTTCTTAGCCATTGATGTAGTGTTTCCTTTTAGCAGAGAGATTGTTTGTCTTGGTGGCCTAGATTTTAAAGTGCTTTTACCTAGTGGAAAATTTCCTTAGTACAAAATATTTTTAACACCTAGTGCCAATCCTTACTCAATTTCAGTATTATGTTTTAGAGTTTAATTTTATCAAAGTATATTTCCTATCTTCAAATACTAATATTTTTCATATGATTTAATGATTTTGTAGATCTTTTTGAATGGGTTGTTATGATTCAGGCTTTTTTCCTGTTCCGCACCTTTGAATTGAAGGAACAAATATGCTCATAGATACAGCGTCCAGCAAAATAAGTTGTCAACTATAGGTTTCTTCATAGTTAAATCTGAAAAAATATTTAGAGATCTATGTTCTGCAATTTTCTTTTACCACCACGTTTCTCCACCATTTCTTACACTATATGAAGTGTAAATGAAATTACAGGCACTTGTTCAGTAGCAAACATGCTGTTTTCATGTATGTACTGCTTTGAAAATGTTTATTTCAGCAATGTCATCTCTTCTTTTTCCCTTTCTGATACTTGTCTGCTCAAACAGCAGAATTTCATCTCTTTTTCCAGACTTCTTTTTTATTGCTTCCAGCCCACTCTTCTGGAAAAGCTTGAGATGCACTTTGAAATGTATAGAGGATGACATTCCTTTCCAACAGTGGTTGAACTTAATATTTACTGGAACAAGAGAAAGTAACTGCTAGCAGAATCTTCAGACTTGTAAAATTTGCATTATGTAGAAGAATTTATGGACGTTTTTGAAGTTCTGTAGGAATCCAACAGCCCACATCTGAGGCCTAACAAAGCAATAGAGCTGTACAGTAATTGAGGTTGAGAACCTCAGCCTTGAGAACAAAGAATTTTCTAAAAATTGCTGTGATAAAAAACACTGATGATTCCAGCTTCCCTCCCTTTCTGTGACATGGAGCTCAGTCATTGAGGAAGTCTGTAAGTGTTGAGCAACCAGTGCTCTCTAACCAAAGCATCAAAAGTCCCTAGACAAATGGAACATGAACTAGAGTTCTGAGCTCTTTAAAATGGAAAAACTTGCAGAAGTAGCAATTTCCATATCCTAAGTAGCTTAACTTCATACTTTCCTAAATTGTGGATTTATTATGTTACTTTTCTTCTTTCTTTATTGCAAATTTTGTGAAATTATTTGCTGGCACTTATGCAAAATAGCACTAGAACAACACATTGATTTTAATGCATAACCACCAACCACTAGTACAGTTTCTTCAATTTGAAGCAATTTAAAATGTTTTGCTTAAGCAGCATATTTCACAACAAACAAATATGTTGATGCTGCCCTGTCATGCCTTTTGGTGACTCATGTATCTCATTTCAGGAAAAGAAGCGGTTAACGATTGGTAACATTGCTCGGCAGTGGGAGATCCAGCAGAACCAAGTTGCTCTTGAGGCTTCTTTAAACAAAGATAAAGAAAATGAGCCCTGCCAGATCAATGGCAGTGATGCATATGTATTTCCTGAAGAAAGCAGGTATTTTATTAGGTGATGCTTTTACCTGTTCAAGTCTTAAATTCCAGGTTATGACTTCTCACCACTGAGATCTTGCTGTATTTCATTATCAAAAATAATGTCTACGCACATCAACCCTGAAAAGATGGTTTACTTTGCTTTTGACCATTCATAATAAGTAACATCTTTAAAAAGAAATAGAGCAGTAACTCATTGCCTAAAGAAGTGCAAGCTAAATTATTATGTGATTTTGCTAAATAAAGGATAACTTCATGTTTACAAGAAATGCTAAATGTGAATTCCTGAGCCTTCTTGAGGCTGTTCTTTTCCTTAACAGCTTAGATTGTTGCCTTCAGTTTAAATGAACAAAATGAAAATGTATGATCATTATGAAGATTTGTAATCTCTTTGTATATCAAGAGGTTTCATAGTTGTATTCAAGCTCTTAGTTTGAACTGCAGCATCTTTTGTTGGACTGCTTTCACATCCGTGCTATTTTAACAGTAGCAGTTACCAGACTTAGTTTTATTTTCAAAATAATTTTAGTATTCTTGGTTTAAAATATATTATTTTTGCTTAATTGCATCTAAAAATGTGGCCATGTCGCCAGAACTCACTGCAGAACTTAATGAGCAGTGTATGCCTTGGATTGGCTAAAACCAAAAGTAGCACTTCAACCTTGGCTAGCTCAGGCAAATGCCTGAAAAACTAGTCTGCACAAATTGAATAGCAAGCACAGCTTCCTGCTGTCCCTGGTCAATGCTGCAAATGTCAGGCATGCTCAGGAAATCTTTATCTCACAAGTAGAACCCATCTAAGTTTCAGTCTTTTATGGCTAGAACTGGTTCTTCAGTCAAGTGCTGCATCTTTTGAAACACTTTTTCCTTAGCATTTTTAAATTGTCATCATCTTTGCTATTCTTGCACTTCCAAAGCTTTCCCCTGAATGCATTTACCCACTGCTTTCTTGCCTGATTGGTTTCTTTGCTATTTCATTCAGTGTTGGTAATCCCTCCCCCATGACCAAGTCAGTCTAACTATGGTAGTTTGACTGTTTCTCTGTTAATGAACAAATTCACATTGCTCAAGAACTGATGCTGTTTTGATGTATGTGTTTTATCATAGTGAAGAATTTCAAGATGAGCTACAAAGCAATAAAATTGCAGGTGAAATTCAGAATAGATAAGTAATTAGAGCTTCACATATGGAGTGATGGACTCTCAACATTTTCAGTTGAGTGAAATTTTAGAGTTCTGATTGTTATTGTCGAGAGAACATCAGTCAAATGATTGCTACTAGTCAAAATGTATTAAAAAGACTAAGAATATTGTAAAGAATAAAATAATAACAATTATTACATAAACCTGTAATTTGTGCTTATCCTGAGGTCTTTGTACACTTTTAAGTCCAGCCAGCTGAGTGTATAATGTTTGAAGTAGGACAAAAAGAGATAGGATTCAGGAATACCTGGATTTATTCCTTAATTTTAAAGTTGCTTTTGTGATTTGGAAAGGATATTTGAAAGAAATGCTTGAGTTGCTTATGTCCACTTTTACATTTCATATAGCAAACAGAATGTGAAGGGGATGTTGCTTAAATAAATACATTGTTTGAAGTTTTGTTTAGATATCTAAAGCAATATGAAACATGCTAGGTTAGCATTCTGAGCTAAAATTTTAAAGCAAATTATTAAATATGAATAGACTCTTTATTTAATTTGACCCCACCACCAACTCAAATACACCCAGACCCCTTCTGCTGAAGAAGTAGAACAAATACAGTGTTACTTGATGGGAGAAGGGTTTTCCAGCCTTAGTGTATTTGAACAGATGGGGTACTGAAAATGAATGAATGCTGAGAAATGCCATTGTATTTGACAGTTGAGTTTTGATAAAAGAAAGGACTGTTATTCAGTAGAGTAATGATATTATTTCAAAATCATTTCATTTATATTACTGTATTTTTATTTCCTCTACAGATCTCTTGATACAATCCTGAGCAGTGCAGTACAAGGCTTGTCTGTTCTAGAGTCTCATTTAGTGGAGGTGGAAGGAGACACTCTTGGCTTGTATGGTGCTGGGGCACTGGAGTGCCTGGATCGAAACTGGAGTGTTCAAACAGCTGGCATTATTGCCACGGTGTCCTTTATGTTCATAGAATTTGATGAAATTGTTCAAGTGTTAGCAAAACTGAAGACAAAATTTCCTAATTGTGTGGTGAGCATGCCTCATGTTTCAGCTCTGAACAGCTATGGAATATGGATTGTCTAATAGAACCTTACTTTGGCATAGCCCCCCCACTAAGTGCTTTCATGTCAATAGATACAGTTAAGAATTGCATATTTTCTCCTGTTATAATGATAACCTCGATACTTAAAAATTAATAATTGAAATTTAGATTTATTTTCAGACTGATGTTTATTTCTTTTAATTTCTTGGACCTACCTAATTATTTTTAAGTTGCAAAACTTGTGTAAATACCATATGGTTGTTCTGTACTATTGTTATGGATCCATTGTATCAGGAAGACTTCATTTGTGTCATGAGTTCAAAGAGCAAATTGCTGACAGGATAAAAAGATTAGAAGGAATAGTTAACTAAATCAGCACACTTCATGAAATTCCTCAGTTCTTGCTGAAGGAAAGCAACATGAATGAGAAATCTCTTCAGTATGTGTTTTTTTCTTAGTCATTCAAATCAGGCATTTTAATGCAAATAGTAAAATAGGGATAGCAAACATAAGCAACTTGTAGCTCAGACTGATTGGTTCTGGAGCTTCTGCTGCTTCTCTGCGTTCTCTTTAAAAACGGAGTGGCACAGAATAGAATCACTGTGTTCACTCTTTCTTGTTTCCTTATTTAATGTATTGGGGTTTGACTGTTTTCAGCACCTGAAGTTTAAGGAGACAAATCTTGTGGCACTGCAGCAGTTCAATGCACTGGCTGAAATGCATCGCATGGAACAGTTGACAGTTGATCCTCAGGGAAATCCAGTTGTCAACTTCACTTTGTGGAAATACTATGTTCTGTTCAGACTGAACCATTTTAATCTACAGAAGATAAATGGAGTGAAGGTAGGATGGTGTTGCTTCATATAAGTGCTCATACAGGATAAATTAGTGTTATTTTCAAAAGAGCAGATTAATTCCTAAAGAAATGAGCACAACCCTGTCAGTGTCTTCTCAGTTTTAAGGGGTAAAAGAATTAAGTAAACTTCACCATGTAATTTATTGTGCAATTAATATTAAAATTATTATTATTAAATCAAATTCAATGAAATTATTATTAAAGAACTGTACAATTTAACTTGATTTTTAAGAGCATTTAAAATTATTTTGGAGAAAATCACAGCACTGACATTGAATACTTAGGCAAAAATGTGTTTGACAGACTCCTTAGTAGTTTACTGTACGTGATTATTTACAATTGCCAGTGTTACAAAATACCATAGAATCATATTTTGTGCTTTAAGCCTGTTACAGGAAAAGTCTGTCAAATATATTTTAAATTGTTTTTTTCTGCTTGCTATGTAAAAGGTCTTTAGAAGTTTTTTTTTGTTGTTGGGTGTGCATTTTATGTTTAAATAAATAGAAAGGACACTAATATTGCTGTTAAAGTACTGTTCTTTGTACTTTGTGTTCCCTTTTACATCAATTGAAAGTAAATTTATTCAAGCATATAAACCAGCTATTTTATACATGGACTTTGATCACAAAGGGGTAAAAATAGTTACAATGCAACACAATGTTTGAATGCACATTCACTTTTAAATGCTAAGTAAGTTTAAGAGATGTTATGGAAGTTAATTAGAGCAAAGATAATACACAGTTTTAGCATTTAGATCTGGTATTTTAATTTGGTCATCTTCATATGTTTTGGATTAGATATACTTGTTATCTGATCCAGCCAAAGCTGGATGTTATGGTTTACTTGGTTTTAGTTGTGCGAAACATATATTAGTTGCTCAGAAGACTAGGAGTGGCTAAAGACCTTAAATGAATTAACTAGCAAGGAAAGGATGGAAACAGGACTCACTCCAATAGCACAGTATCTTGAAAAGGAAGAAAGCTTAGTGATAGTAATCCCATGAAAAACATAGAATAACTTCAAATTTAGTACTTTGCTGAAAAAATTCTCTTCAAATTTGATTTTAAAAGGACAATGTTTATTTATTTTTATACTGCATCATATTTTCAAAATCTTCTAGTGATTCAAATGAAAAGCAAATAGATAAATCTTGTGTTTGGTCTTCATCAAGAAACAAAGTAACACAATTGTTTAAGTAGACTTTTTGTTACAATCTCAAGGTAAACAAATTCAGTCTCTGAGGGAAAACTTTGTATTTTATAGTTCTTGGGGATTAATATAGAAAATGGAGCACATGTAGCACAGCATGATTTTATGGAGGACATATATCAGATCTTAAATATGTATGACAAGAACGTTTTTGTCCTCAACAAACTTCTTCAGCCAGACCACACTACATGAAGATGTGCATATAGAAGTTTTTTCTAGAGTCATTAATAATTTGAAAAGTGTCTTAGCTAAGCAGAAGAAAGAGATGAGCTCTGATTGCTGTTTTTCATTACCCTACAGCAGAAGCCATGATATGCAGCTTTGCAGATGTGCGTTACCTATTGGATTAATATGAGAAATAGAAAATTCTATTTCAATGTAAAGAGCACAACCCCTGAAGTGATTCTCAGACTTTAGATCAGCCCTAAATAACAGTTCCAGATGACAGAAAGGGAAATGTGCATATTCTGCTATTCTGATTACCATTTGTGTGCAATGTTTGTGGAGCCAATATTGTGTTGTCCACTCTAGGTGCTCAAGAGTTGCAAAGTAAAAGCAATATAAAACTGAATTAACTAAATAAATTGCATCACTCTAGAACTTTTAAACAGTAAAAAACTTCTTTAAAAAACCTTTTATTATCTCCCCAGCCTTCCCCCACCATCCCAGTTAATATTCCAGGCTAGAAGCTGAGTGTTGGTTTCCCCCTAACAATTGATTCTGTGCCCTTGTCCAATTGTTACATTTACTAACTGTGAAGAAACAAATTGTCTTTGAGGTACTACTTGAAATTCTTCCAAGTGATAGTAATCTCAGATTAATTTAAAGTTGTCAAGGTTTGAAGTTACCAAACCCTCCAGACTGCTGTCCACCCAGTGGTATGGAATAGAGTGTGACAGATGCATCCCTTTCCCTGAGCAGGGCCTGCTGGCACAGTCAGTGCCTGCTCTGTACACTTGGCAAGGAGCAGGCATAAAGCCTTACATTTATGTGATACTACCGCTATTATCTTTTTGTGATTAATGGAGCAAACAATGCACTGCATCAAGATAGAGAACATGAGTTTCTGTGAGCTGGAGAGTGTATTCAGCTTTGCTGTCTCTGTTGACCTGATCCTTATGCTTCTCTTAACATAAATAAATACATTAAAATCACTTATTTCTTCAGCAGACATTTCTGCCTGCGCACTGGGCTTTGTTTCCCTAGCTGCCTTCTATGCTCTTTGTTTTAGACCTTGCTTCTGTTACAGACTGTTCAGCAAGGTCATCTACTCCTAGGCTACTAAGACTTAATTTTTAAGTGAAAATTAACAACTCCACTGTAAAAGTGGAACTGACTTTACATTTCTAATTTCCTGATCTGTGTTTTGACTGAATTTACCCCCGTATTATACTATTGCAGTATACTTTAGGCATGTGTAGATTGTATAGTCTCTAAACATTACACAAGAATACAACAATAATCTGTTAATGTGGATCAAAATTCCATTCTATGCACACATTTCAATAACACAGAATACAAAGTTTGTCTGGAGGTGCTTAGTAAATATTGTGAGTATTGAAGTGTATTTAATAATGGGTTGCTTTCCCAAAGTATGTTATAGGATGAATGGAAGTTAAATTTCATCCAGAAGTTAAGAAGTCAATGAGTAAGTTTCATTGTCCAGTGTTATCCAGGTCAGATTTCGTGATCATAAAGATTGCTTCTGCACTCAGTACAAAGCCAGGAGTCCAGAAACTGTGCCAGAAAACTTTTGGCAGTTGAAGTCAGTTCATAGTCTGGCCATCAGGGAGAAACACAGGCTATGGTCTCCAGAGATTACAAGCCAAGACAAACAAAAAACAGTAACCACCACCACCAAAGAATGAATCTCTTTCACTTTCTTTACACTTTTCAATTTTGTATAAAATGAATCTTGAAAATTTTTCAACTGTTGAATGTTAGTTTAAAGAGTGACTGGAACTTAATATTGAAACAACAGTATGGTAGACATTTAGAGAAATATAATGAGTGAACACTTATTTTCAGGAGCTGAAAAATAGAATTTTTTTTTTCCCTCTAAAGCCTCTCTTTTATAAAACCTTTTCCATGATGCTGCCAAAGTGAGAGTCTGTAAGTTATCTTTTTACATGTGCATGCCCAGAATCTTTCTGGTTCTCCAGCATAACTTAATCAGAAATTTTCCAGTAGACCTTTTGTAAGTGCATGCAGTATGGAGCAGAATTAATATGTCTGGCCTTCAGAAAATGAATGTAAGAAACCTTTTTAAAATTCCTCACTTCACAAAGACTATCATGAAGCACAGGGCAGCATGTATATACATTAAAATATACAGAATGACAGGAACTAAAGCAAGCATTGAGTTTCTTCTAAAATACATTTAAAGTGTCAGTAGAAGCAAATCTATGTTTTGTAGATGTACCTGCAACAGATCTGTGTGCAGTGTTCTACAAAAAAAATTTCAGTTAATTTTGAATGTACATATGTAATGAAATGCATTACATATGTAATGAAATGTGCTAATTTTGAAACGTAGTCTTTTTTCTTTTTTCTTCCCACTCTCTCACAGGTCACTGAAAATGACATTGTAAAGGCAGAAAGGCTCTTTGGCATTCTGGCATATGTGGCATCTTCGGAGCTGCCGCATTATCGCATGCTTTCCTTATTTGGAGAATCCAGGTAAAATAGAAGGAACAGAACTGGAGTTTGTCCAGTACATGTTGTTTAACTCTTTTGCACACTGTTAGAATAAATTCTTTTTAGATAAGAAGATGAAAATTTCAAAAATACCATCTTCTAGAAGGTAGGTCGTCTGCATAATGTGCAGGTGTTACCATCTCCTGGTCTATGTAGCCAGAGGTTTCCCCAGAACTTGTATGAAGTCTGCTGAAGAGATGAAAAGGAATGTGCACACAAATGAACTGCATGTTCAATTCTGCGTTGTACTGGGATTGCTGAAGATTTGTGGACCTTTATGATGAGAATTGGTTATTTTTAGTGGGTATTTTATAATGGGTAATTAATGGTTAACAGGTTTAAGAGTTGTACTGTAAAAAAGGACACCAAACACCCCTGTTTTAGTCTTCTATAGACAAATACTTAGTAAAAATTAAAGCTGCAAGACTTCCTATGTAGGAGATGCTACGTGATATCAATTGTTTAGAGACAAATTAATATAGGGACATCTAAAGTCATACATATTTTGAATAACTTGAGGATGCAAAGTACTTCAAAGCTCAAAAATGTATATTCAAAAGGAGAACCCCCCTCACAATAGCTAGCAACATCTGCACTTAAAAGTTTTTGATAATTATTTCAATTTCATTTCACAGGAGGAAGCAATTCCATTATCTGCTGGAGGGAAAGGGAAAGAAATCTGGCATTGGGAGTGAGGAAAGTAGTGATAACAGAAGAAGTGGAGGGGAAAGCACAGCTCGAGCAACATTGAATTACATGACAAAAGATTTTCATATGGAAAAGCTTGAGGTAAAATATATCATTACAAAATATTTACATTTTCTGTTAGGTAACCTTAGGTTACTACTCTTTGAATTTATCTGTACATCAAATTGAAATTGTTGTGTTGAGAATGGTGGTTTTAAGAGATGACTGCTTAATGTATTTACATATCTGATCAAATATTGTATCTAACTGATCTTTTTCTCAGAATACTGGAAAATGCTTAATTTCTGTCTTTGGTGAAGTGATTCCTCAACACTGCCACAGTCTCAGAAATACATTCTCACCTACAAGCCGTATGGAGTGACCACAATTTTTTTAGGAAGAAAAATGTATATTGTCCATGTTAGATTTTCCCTGAATGAATTGGTGAAGAACACCTTCAGACAACATATGAGATAGTGCAAGCTGTAGTAATAAAAAGCTGCTTCATAGCTTTTAAGTGAGCCACAGGAAAATAAATATATAGGCAAAGTACTAGGTTTAATTATTAATAAAATTGCAAGCTGGCTTGTTTCAGACAAGGGCATCAGTCACGCTTGTTTAAGTTCGTGGTTTTGATCTTCTAACTCTTTTGCTTGGGGACAGGGGAATTGTTCCCAGGGAGAGTAAGATTTTTTTTAGCCACAACCTCCCTTCTGAACAATCATCATGAGTTCTAACTGTAGGCACTCTGCTTCCCACATTTGTCCCATTTTTTCCTTTTTGATTGTGTGGAAATATCTAAATCCTGTACTGCAAGAAACTAAATCAAATTCAGTAATCATTGAATTCTGTTATTCCATTGTGGTTTTATTATCTCAGATCCACAGCATAAAAGAAGATGGTGACTGCATGTGTGGAGAGATTAAATTAAGAAAACATTTCAGTCTCAAAAACTGTGATAGCTCTTAAATCTTTGAATGACATGGAGTAAGACAGTATTCCTGTTGTCCTTTACCATGGAACCAGCCCTATAATAGAAGAAAATAAGCTTAGTATTTGTACAGTCCATTAAATAAAAGCGTTGTTTCCTCTTCCCAGTGTAGCAATCCCCACCTTGCCCTTTGCTGTAGCATTGTGCATGTGGCAGCAGGTACTGCAGGGTGCAGAGTACGTCCTGGCAAAAAGGAATTCTTCCAGATCCCCAGCACCAGCAAACTAACATCACAAATGTGGCTGAAGAAGTGTATTGCTAAAGATTACAGTCTTGGTTCTTTGATTAGTAATTTGGGGTTTTAGCTGAAACTGCTGGAAAGCATTTTCTAACCTTTATTAGTCATTAAAAAACCTTTTGTTTTGGTGGCATGAAGTATGATCAAAAATTTTTAACAATGCTGCCATTCAAACTAGCTAGATATTTAGCTCCAATATAGCTTACTGATCAAAGCTTAAGGCATTTTATAGAAACTTTGCAGAAGCAGGTATTAATACAGTTTGAGTTACTAAAATGCAGAGCTAGTGGTTGCACAAAACATAGCATCTTTTTATTTTTTTTAAAGGTTCAGCTTTTTTCATTATCTAATGTAATACACATTAGGAACCAGCACTTGCCAGAGTGACCGTGGAAAAGTACTGGCATGTTTTTATATGACAATGTTCTTGTTAGGGCAGGTAGAGAAATATCTACTTTTCAACTGTTGTACTATAAGGATGAAACTCTGGGAAGGGAGGGAAGGAAAAGTAGTTTAGTGTTTAATAATTTCTGTAAATTTTGACTGCTATGCCAAAAAGCAACACAAATGATAATGCTGTAAACAGATATTAATATAATTACTTGAAAGTTAATTTCAGATAAATTAATGACTTAATATAGTATGAATACATTAAGGCTCTGTGGCCACACTCATAAAAGCCTGGACATAGACACTGGGCCTTGCAACATAAAACCAAGGGGAGAAACTACACAATAGCATCTGCCAGCTAATTGCAGTATCCTTTCATTAATTCAGTTTTTGAGAGGGCTTTTGTGGGTTTGCTCTTGCATAACATTTTTTTCCTTTTTCTTATACATTGTGTAATTTTTGTCTCATGCAGGAAATCAAAGAAAGAAAAACATTTTGCCAGACTTACATTGAGAACTTAGTAAAAGAAGCAGCTGACATCAATATGAAAAATGAGTCGTTGCAGAAGCTCTGGCCTCAGCTGTTCATTGAACTTGTCAGAGATGCTGTGATAGAAATTCGCAATAAAAACTCCTACATGAAACTCTGCCTCCAGCGGATCACTGAGCAGAAACAGTAGAGCCCAGGCGTGTTTTCTTGCAGGTTTTTGGTTCACTATTCTCTCATGTTTTACAAACATAAGCCAATAGAATATAAAATTATCATCACTAGGGCAGACTTCACTTCCTCCCCCAAAAGGATGCCTTTAAATCTTAATTAACTCTTAATAGTTTTGAAATAAAAGTTTATGTTCATACTGCTTTTCCAATGCTTCCTTGGCTAACTGAAGTGATAGCAAAGAAATGACTTGGTGATTGTTTTACTAAGTTCTTGTTTATTTTTTCTGCTACCCTTGATTCTGTAGTGCTTACAGCATTGATTTTTAGAACAAATTTACAAAGCTTGCCTTATTTTTATTGAACACTTTTCAATTGTCACTTTTTTCTCTGCTGCTGTTTAAAAAAACCAGGAATAGTAGCTAAGTTTTTTTATGACCAGAACCTAATAAATTATTTTACACCCTGAATTCAATGAAGACTTATTATTGTTGTTTAATTTGTCAGATTACAGAACGCTTTCACATGAGAGTGTTCAGAATATTGACAGTCAATCAGCCTAATTCTCAACTGAACAAATTGCCCAAATATAATTTCAAATGTTTTTTGTTATTGTTACTAAGGTTGTGTGAATTGTTATAGGTAAAATATGATTCCAGGGTATACTTACTTGAGCTTTATTTTTATTTTGTTAAAATATGTTAATATAATTTATTGTTTTTTTGATTACTAAGTTATTAACTTCTGAGGTTTGCCAAGATCAAATGAGCTAAAATGCATGCATTACATTTGATAGGGAGACTGATAACTACTATTCAGTTGTAATTCATTTTTGTGACTCTGTGAAAATTTCATATTATCAATAAAAATAAATTATTCACTTTTACCTTTCACAGATACTATAAAGAAGTACTGTGTGCAAAGAAAAGACTTAATACTGCATGAAGAGATGAGACACAACTTGCCCCAAAATCAACTGAAGGGATAGAAATAACCCCCATTCCATAGTACAGTAACTACCACAATAAGCAGCTTGCCAGCTTCTGTCCAGAAATGGAATTTAGGAAGTGATAGCAAGTGCAGCTGATTGACACCATGAATAGCATTCTGATACAGGTAGAAAGTTGTGCCATTTAAATTTATTTTTTCGTTCCTTTGTATCTTAACTAAAACAATCCAAAACCTTTGTACATTTTTTACTTAATTAAAACTGTTCATATTTTACTTGGGCTCGTTTATAAAAAAGAAACTAAAGGAAACTTCCTGCAAAGATTTCTATGACTCAAAAGTAAATTTATTTTTAAACTGTATCTAGAAGGTATTTTCTGTCAAAGCAGAGATCCAGATACAGTTTAATTTGTTTTTATGCCCAGAAAATCATGGAACCACGGAAAGTTTGGGTTGGAATGGACTTTAAAGACCATCTAGTTCTAATGCTCTGCCAGAGGCAGGAACGTTTTCTACTAGACCAGATTGCCCGAAACATGCCCAGCCTGGCCTTGACCACTTCCAGGGATGGGGAAACCATAGCTTCTCACCACCTTCACTGGAAGAATTTCTTCTATATATGCAATCTAAATCTTCTCTCTTTCATTTAAAGCCATTCCCCCTTGTCCTGTCTCCACATGCCCTTGTTCAAATGCCCTCTCCAGCTCTCTTGGAGCCCTCACAGGCACTGGAAGGTGCTTTAAGGTCTCCTGCGACTCTTGTCCAGGCTGAGAAGACCAAGCTCCCTGAGCCTTGAATGAGTAGCAGGAACTGAGTGGTCACAGGGGTTTTGGAGAGTACAGTCTGCTTGCATTCAGGTCAAGCTGGTGCATCTGTGTTGTCTGAGAGAATCCTGCTTCAGGGCACCTGACAGGTTAACAGTGATGTGGCTACTGTTAAATGCAATTTTCCATTTGGTTCATGTTACATTTGCAGGTAGCGGCTTTTCAGCCTGTGGAATGTAATGGAGGTTAAGTTCCTTAAATTCTAAGGAAGTGTTAGAATTCCTGAAGAAACTGCTCCAGCAGTTGATAGAATGTAATAGAAACAATCACCTATCTGGGCTTTTTGAACTGCTTCATGGAATTTATAATAAGATTAGTTTATTTAGTGGGATTTTTGTTTCCTTTCCATTAGAAAATTACACTCTCAAGTTTTATGGTGCATTTTATTAAAGGAACAAATTAGGGCCCTGCAAAATGTGAGAAAATTAGAGTTTACATTAGAGAAACAGCCAATATAGAAATGATCATGCAATAGGTTTTTGGATCTATAATTTACTTTACATAATTTCTGTGCCAAGGGGGTACATGAAGCAATTCCAGCTTCTGCATGGGGACAGAAAGCTCAGCAGCTGTGTGGAAGTGCAGAGCTCTCCTGATGATGTATCTGGAACAGATGGGCCTCTTTTGAATCAGATTCAGCAGCAGTAAAAGAGTGGAAAAAAATGTTTTAAGAAGGCTGTATTGGTCTAGAGGAACAGGAAGTCCTCCATAGGAAAATCAAGAGAAAACCAGACTTTCTGATATTAAGTCTTTAGAAGCATAATCCTGGTTTGAGGCTTTAAGGTAGGGTCTTGAAAAAATGGATCAGAGGGAATTGATGGGGAGTTGTAGAAGCATGTTAAAATGCTCTGTATTCGCAGTGGTCTGTGAATGCTGCCAATTTGGACTTTTTTGCTAATAGCAGCTGTTTCACAACAAGATTGCTAAATGGCTGAAGTAAGGGTAGGTAGGCAGCTATTATGAATGAAGAAAAGATTCATCTGTTCCTTTCACGTAAAACCAGTAGGGAAAAAAAGGAACTTATATTTTTACTAATTCTTTTTAGGAAACAAGTGATAGATTCAAGTGATGTTAGACCTAAGAATACACAGAATTTTCAGCAGATGAAGGATCTTAAAATTGTTAGCATGCTATATGTTTTTTTGTAGTTACCCAAATAATTTCTTAATTCATACAGACTCATGAGATACATTCCTGTAGCTGCTTATTAGGGAGTTTCCAAGTACCTAAAAATTTGAAAGTCATATAAACAGCAAATTCTTAGATGTTCTGAAACTTAAGTGCCACATATAGGCACTTTCTATGGCTACAGATGTAAATTGATGAATTAAAATAACAGTTTATATTGAAGCTAGGAAATCTTTTGATAAAACCTTCCAGTCTGAAAGCAGTTATTTCTTCCTTCTTCAAAAATCTTCAAATGCTGCATAAAACCAAGTTTTGATGTTGTTAATATTTCACTGATATCCCATCCAAAGTAGACTGTGATCCTCTCCTGTAGCCTGACTTCTGCATAAGACATGAACTATTACTCTAAAATATGTGTATGTTAACTAGAAATCACCTTTAGGGTTAAAAAGATATTGTTTTAAGTATTTTGAAAACTCTTTTGATTGATTTTTTTTTTGATTATTCATGCAATTTACTTATTTCTTGAGACAAATGTCTTCTATGTCCAGACAAAAGCAGATAATGATGTAGGATATTTTCTTCAGTTTCAGTTTAGCTGTTTCACACACGAAGGCCCCATTATGTCATGCAGAGTCACTGTTTGTTACGCAACTGAAATTTGATCTTCAGTAAGGAGACTGATGAGGACCTGTATTTCATACATTCCTTTTAATACAGAATCTGAAAAAGTAATAGAGCTGCATATTTGCTGCCACATGGAGCAGGGAGAACAAATTCACTTGATGCAAACCAAAAGCTGATGCTGTCAGTTATGAGGAAGAAAAAGGTACTGGTAAAAGGTTTTAACTGAGCATAAAAGTAACACTGCCACACTGCCTGGGACCAAGGGATACATCTGAATCCAGAAAGAGCTGAAAACTGCATTAACCTTTCCAAAACAGGAAGAATGATGCCTTCAAAAGTACAGGTAATAATGCAAAGCCTTTCTGTATGTAGTATTGAGCTTTGACACTTCAGCACAGGAGAAGATATCCTGGAATGATAATGGCTTCCATCTATTTCTAAATGTAGCATTAGACGCGAGATTGTAAAGTTAATTCTGACTAAAGTGGTGAAGAAATTGTGGTTGTGAATGTGATATTTGTCCTACATGCTCACATTGCCTTGACATCTTACTTGGTCATGCAAATAACAGTGGTCACAACCAATAAAAGAAACCATTGCATTATGTAGAGAAGATGTGACTTTGCAGTGATAAAAAAATGCTGAGTTCATTTATTAGGTATTATATGACACTTAGAAATGATACTGTGATATAATATATGCTGTGGCTGTGTTCCATTTGGATATGTAGCACATTTACTGCCTATTTGCATTAGGCTTCAATGATCTATGCTCATAAAATAATAATTCTGAAAAGTGATGAAAGAAGCACAGAGTACAGTTTTTCTCAGTTTCTAACTCAGCACTGACAATACAGTATATTAGGTTTCATACAACTCCTCAATCCTGGGTAAAATACTCATGTTGGAGCTCTCAGAGTCATCTGACTATGAAGCTGAGTATAGTCCCCTCTGCAGATGTACTAAGGCAAAGTTTAGATGCAAATTGACATGCTGCTGAAGATTCTCAAAGGTATTTGCATTTATTTATGCTCTTTGTTTGTATGCATAATAAAAACAAGAAAATCCAAACTAGATAACCTATATGAGCTCAAACCTCGATGCTGTTGAAGTTGTTGAAAGATTCCCAGTGACTTGAGTGGGAATTTTTTTTAAATACATGGTGATGACAGTTGTGTCTTGGGTCTCAGTTTAGAATCTCATCTAGATTAGAAACTCATCTGGATTCTGTACTGCCTGGAGGAAAATAAACACTTCTACAGTGTAAAACATCTGATTTATTTTAGATGTCCATATTTTCAACAAAGTGGAGTTGTTCTTCCTTTTTTTTCCTTTCCCTATTACAGTTGTGAAGATAGTCTTCCAGATATTGATGTCTGCAAAAGCTTAGCTTTGTACTGACAAGCTTCATCCTTCCCACGTGTTTGTGCTTTTCCTCTCGTGATTCAGACCAGTGTATTCTCCTAAGCCAGTCAGAGCCCACAGAAGCAACACACTTAAAGATGAGCAAACGTGTTCTAGTTGGACTGGGGGGTAAAACCTGAGTGTTCTAGACTTCCAAAATGAGAACTGCATGCCTCAAGTCATTCTAGACTTCAGTTAAATCTAGATTAATAAATCCTTTTGTCACATTTGAAGAGACCTTGAGGGCTGGCACACAGCTTCTCTCCTTTGCTGATTTGAATGCATTTATTGCCAAAGAGGAAGAGTGCCATGTGGATAGGGTGGGAGACTGAATTGGATTAGACATTGTTAGACAGTAGATAACTGTTTTTTCACTCAAAGCAGTGCAATAGCATATGTCTGTGAGTAGTAAAGTGTTGCAAAATATGTTAAACGTTCTTGGTGACAAGCCAGAAATACATGTGTTAAACATGTCCAAATAACCAAGATATCTCATTTGTTAGACACAGCCATTTCTCTGGTGCTGAGCTTACTGGTTGCAAGGCAGCTGTTGTCTCTTGTACAGAGATTGTTATGTGCTGGGCAACTGAAGAAAGTAGGTCATTTGCAGATAATATGGCTGTTCAAGTTGTTGAGCAGATTCTTCTGATACATTCTGCAGAGTATAATTCTCAGTATTTCCAGATTTATTTAGAAGAAAAATTGCTTCAGAGATGTGAAGGATCCTTTAGCTTTGTTGTTAAAATTGTTTTTTAAATTGAATAATGTGTGTGTCATTGAAGAAGAGGAGAAGAAACCAAAAAGAAACCACAGGTGGTCTGAGAAAATAGTTTTATTTGTTCTTTCTTCTTTGTTGGTACTGAACTTTTGCCCTTGTTTGATGATGCTGGCTGTAGCTTGCTCAGGGATTAACTATAGTCTTTGTCAGGAAAAGTACTTTAATAGATGGAAATAGATGGAAACTGCTC